TTTTATAAATTTTGAAATAAATAAAAAAAAAATTTATGAATTTAAATTAATAAAAAAATATTTTTATTAAATGTAAAATTAATAAAAAATATTTTTATTCATTTTAATTTCAGGTCACCTGAAAACGGAAGCTTGTGTTGCCTCCGAAACGTCGTGATTTTATTGTTTTATTTTTTATTAATTTTAATTTCATTTTTTACCTACGTGACTTTACCGAAAAAACTAAGAGTATTAATCCTTGCAGTCACGAAAGCTTCAAATCTAGAATTAATACCACTCGCTGAGCCAGTGGGGGGGGGGGGGGGGGGGGTGGCACATGCCCCCCCAATAATTCGATGGAAATGAGGCAACTAGTAAGGGCTCGCATAATGCGCATGCATAATGTTCGTTGCCCCCCCCCCCCCCCCCCCCCAGAGCACAGAAGTATGGTCACCACATCTACGCCTCTATTTCAGGAACGAAACAGGTGGACTTCTCCACAAATCTGTCTGTCGCCTGATAAAGCTAGTTGTAATTGCTGGCGAAACGTGGTACTCGGATTGTAAATGTTGTGGCTTGGCTCTCCAACAAACCGGTTAGTGCTGTACTAGTGACGAATTGGCACGTTCTGTTAACGTGACAACCCTTACTAGTTGGCTGTGTCGGGTGGTGGCGTGTTTAATGACACAATTATATATTTACGCGATCTAACCCAAATAAACCTCTTTTATGGATGATGATATTGGTCGCGAAAGCCTGCTACGTGTTAAACTGACTCAAATGTGTTCGTCTCTAGGCTCCCTTTGCCCTTGTTAGTAATATCTCTACTACAGGGAAGTCCCGCACCTTCGGTAAGCACGATCGGCTACGTACAGTGCGAAATATGTTTCAACACACAGCACATATGTAGGGGTTGTTACGGGGAGAAAGGCGGACAGAAACACAAGGGTGTCTGCACCCACACACGGGTGTCTACATCCACGTCCGCATCGGTTAACCCTGGGGGGCCATGGGTGGCGCTGTGATCCCCCATAGCCCCACCCCTCGGAGAGGATTCCTATAAAAGGTGGGGAGCCAGAGGGCTCGGGGCCAGTGTGTTAGAAGCTTACCAGTGAAGACTGAAGACCGGCAGGATAGGCCCTGGGACTCCCCTGGCTCGCTGTCCTTGTCAGGGCCGAGCAGGGCAAGCCATTGGCGCGGCCCCAAGAGCTCCAGGACCGCTGCTCTTGTAAGAGCACGGCCTCGTTAGCTGGGTGCCGGGATCCGTGCTTGACCAGGGCCGGATCAGATAGCCTCCCCGAGCACTCGTAGCGGAGGACTGGGAATAGGACAGTCAGGGGATAGTGCTAGGAGTGTTTCCCATTGAGTACGAGTGAAGGGGCCGTTACCCCTTCATGTGTTGTTACCGCCTTTGGTTAAATAAAAGAGTGTGCCTCAACTACGTCGTCTGACTCACTGAGAACTCACTACACATACAAATCATTCCTGCAGCTTGCATAAACAAAACGAGAAACCTTGACAGCTCTCACGCAGCCCTCACAAAACAGCTGTCGCAACGCGTCCAGGTGTGGACACTCAATGGAAATTATTTGTAATTCTGCTGTTTAACTCCAACGCCCCAACAATAACAATGCAAACATCCGTTAATGATCACTTAGAAACGGCTTTCAGAATCCAGTGAGAGGCAGTTTTCTGGGAACATCGTTTGGCAAATGACTGCTCCTCATCTCAGCCGAGGGATGTTTGAATTTCTTGGATTTTCAATCACGTGACCAATTGTTGTCGTCACCCGGCCTTTGTGTTATTTAGTTGACCAGCAGCATCCATCAGGCCGTTACGCATAAACATCCACAATCTTCTTGGTTCTTTCGGTAAAGTCACGTAGAAGGGAAATAATAAAATAATAATAATTAAACATAATAAAATACACTGTTATTCCGACAGACCTGTTCTTCACCTGAGGACGGCTGCTTGCGTTGTGGCCGAAACGTCGTGAGAATTGTATTTGATTATGTTTAATTTTTATTATTTTATTATTTCCCTTCTACGTGACTTTACCAAAAGATCCAAGAAGAGTATTCCCTGCAGTCACGAAAGCTTTAAATCGAAATTTAACATCCACAATTATAACATATTTAGTGCCCGCGCTCTTTGAGATTTTCTTATTTTGGTTGCTGATTACAAAGTTCGCATTATTTTCACAACAAAAATAAAGAAACAAATATTTCGATTACATAATCCCTTCTAGAATACAGCTGTATTGTAATCTTATATGTAGAGTGTAAGCATTCATTACCGCAAATATTTTCAACAAAGCAACACGTCATTGCATTGTTTGAATATATGCAGATTTACATATCAGGTTTAAAATAATCATACAATTCTTTGTAATTCGACTGTCCTTTAATCACAGTTGCTAAGCAATTACATCCGCTTTCACCGTAACTTCGACTGGAACGTTGAACCCCACGTACTGAGCAATCGCTTGCTCTCATGATCATGAATGTCGTGGCTACAAAGCAAATTGCCACAAAGTGCTGCATCATAATCATGCATCGTACAGGTGTGAGCAACGATTATGCTTATTTCCAGATTTCTGCCGAAATTGCCGGAGAATCAGGTGGACCTTTAAAGCATGGTAATCAATGCGCTTACCACTGTGCTGGTTTTCACCGGCCATTTGAACGCTACTATTACTCTGTAAAGCCGTGCGGCATGGGCACAGCATGCCGCATATTAGTATGTCAGCACGTGTTAAAGACCCCTTTGCACCATTCTCAGAGGTGGATCATTGAATGCCAATACCGCGGTCCAGAGCCCCATCATTTGGCGATTCTCCTCCTCTATGCAGGCCGCCTTCCAAATGTAAATGTTTTCACATTATATTTCATGTACTGAACATTACAACATTTCAATAACAAGCTCTAATATATATCGGAACAACAAACAAAAAAGCAATTAGGCGTGCGTTGACAATGAGTCCTTACACATGTTGGAAGTGTTCCCGTGGCTCCTGGATATGTCAAATATCAAAGCTTTTAATGTTCTAAATGAGGTTTCGTGCAGAAATTGACGGAACGAGGATAATAGCCAGCCAGCACGACGGACACAGGTTGGTGACCTCCATTTTTACTCCTTTGTTAATGCTGTCAACACTTAACTACATAAGCAGGCGTGTAAATGATGTGGGTAAACCATTCATAGACACCACACGAGAAAAAAAACAATAAAGAGAACAATATTATGAAAATTATCATTTGTTTTAAAATTAAACACGGTGTACGGCTCTCTCCTATTTCAATGCGCTGATTAATTTATTTGTAACGGTCGCCTGTTTGTAAGATATTTAACGATCACTCAAAAACCTGTGGTTTTTCTTTTACTCATCCCACCAGCCACACGACACATGGTCGACAATGTGTGTACAAAATACTTACATTTTTACGTGGAGAGATACATATGGGAAGAAGTATTATGCCTGATTATTTGAATGGATCCAGAATACCGTTTTAGCGCAAAGGGCCCTAAAGAGGTGGTGATAATTGACAGTCGCTGCGTGTACTCAATTAGAACTGACACATACTGGACAGCCTTAGTTAAATTCCTGCATATGAAAGTAAACTTGCCACGTGGATATATAAAAACATCGGCATTCACTTTAGTGCAGTGTTAGTACTTCGAACCCAATGAGGCATTATCGCAGCTTACAGTTTGAAATTAAACCTTAATACAGACAAAATTAAAATCTATCAATTGCACAGGATTCAATGTTTACAAATTTACATGAACTGCAGTTCTGAAAACATAAAGAAATTCCCTAAACTATCATTAACATACACGCAAACAAAATATACGTTGTTTGGCTCTTAAATAAAACAGTCACTTTGTATTGTGCATCACCAATGTTATGCTGGAAAAGAAACAGTTTAAAAACGAAGCTATGAAATTTAAAATGTACTAGCAAAATAACTAAAAATTACACAACAATGTCACATATCTGTCCCGACAAATTATCCGCCCACACACAGCGCAGGATATGTGCACGGTGGTATAACTCATTTCCAATAGATGTTCACAAATGCGACCTCTGCACCCAATGGCGGAGCCAGGATTTTCAGGTGGGGGGGGGGGGGCAACCCCTCCAGCAATGAAAAATGATAGGAGTTGTTAGTAAGTAAGGAGTTGTTAGTAAGGAGTTGTTAGTAAGTAAGGAGTTGTTAGTAAGTAAGGCGTTAGTAAGTAAGGACTTGTCCTTTGCTTTTTATTCGACGCGTGTGCGGCGATGGCGCAGCCATCGATCGAGGGTCCAATTCGAACCGCGTTGTGTGATCGGCATCGCGCTCGCTGAAGGTGTTGATGCCTTCAGGGAAGTCGTGTGGACTGTATACGCAACTGCGCACAATTCTGAGTCACTTATAACCGCTTTGCTGTTATTTTTTGCCAATTATGGACTCAGACTATTGTCCAATCATCTCATAGAGTCTCTGGCACGTAATCATATGCTACACAGTGGCAGTGGGGGTTGCAAAATGCCGATTTATTACTAACAAACCCCAATGATCCGATCGAAATTAGGGATTTCGATCGGATCATTGGGGGGGCACATGCCCCCCCCCCCCCCCCCCACTGGCTCCGCCAGTATCTGCACCCATCCATCTCGAACATTGACCCTCGCAATTTGGATATGCGTCGTTGTACCGGAGTTGATTTTTAGTGAGAAGTACACTGAACACAAATAGTCAAGTAAGTTTTGCTGTAAACTTTTATTTCGCATAAAATCGGTCACCTTTGCTGACACGGGTTAGGAATAGCAGCCAACGCCTCTTCTCTGCAAAGTAAAGTTGTGCCACCCACTCATGTGCATCCTCAACTGGAGCCATGTCCACAGCCACTACCTCAAAAGTCCTGGGTGATCTCAGAAATGCTATGACAGCAGAATACAAATTACGCTTTGAAAAACTCACGCACGTAAATATAATTTCTGATTTTGACCAAGTTGGCACTGAACACTTCAACCTCAATCACGCATTTTCAATTGTTCTAAACGACGTCAAAATACAGACATTATGCATTTCTGCTGTGTTTCGAGGCAAACCATTGTTTTGCAAATTTTGCTCAGAATGGCAATTCCTTACAACTTTCTTGAGAGCGAAGCGGAACTGCCCCGAGAGAGAAAAGTATATGACTGGGTTGATGCAGCTGTTGGTGTAACAGAGGACAATTGAAACTTGGCTAACGATGGCGTAATCCAAGCTGTTGGTGAACAACTTTGCCTGGCAGAGCATGTAAACCAGCATGGGGATGCACAGCAGGCAGAAGGCTATAAAGGCAACCAGTGTCATAATCGTGGCCTGGCGGTTAAACAGAACGCTCGCCTGGTTATTGCGTATCATGTCCCCTCTCCTCCACAGCGTTCGCACGATCCTCGAGTAGCAGAAGACCATGACGGCGACGGCCGGGATGAACCCGACGATGTTCAGTGCCACGTCAAAGAGCAGCCTCTCCCTCTCGTCCATGACCAGCGCGCAGACGCTGCACGCACCCACGCCGACGACGCGGCTGTAGAGCCATCGGGGGGTACTCAAGCCCGAGGTGGCCAGCCAGATGAAGGCGCAGAGCAGGAGCGCGTGGTTGTAGCGCACGAGCCGCGCGCGGATGGGGTGCACCACGGCAACGTAACGCACGACAGACAGGCACACCATGCTGTAGAAGCTCACGCTCATGCTCACGTGCGATGCGACCTTGAATGCGGTGCAAACGAGCGGCCCGAAGGTCCAACTGCAGAGAACGAAGTGTAGCGTAAACAAGGGGATGACGTAGAGCAGGAGGACGAGGTCCGAGGCGGTGATGTTGAATATCAAGACGCTCGTGACGGAGGTAACGGTGTCGCCGTCTCTGTTCCGGATGCTCTCTCGCAGGGCGGCGAGCAGAACGATGTTTCCCGGCACGCCGACGAGAAAGATCAGAGCGCAGCCAAAAGCCAACGCCGATCGCAAATGAACGTTCTCAATCTCTGGGACGAAGCCCACGGTGTCTTCTGGCTTGGAGTGGTTTTGTTGAATCGTGGCATTTGTACAATTATTCAGGGTCATTTCTTTTCCTGCCGATGTCAATCAAAAATGTTTACATATTAACACAAAAAAGCATATGAACGTAACATGAGCCATGGTGAAATGTGTTAATAGAACAGTGCACACTTGCTGTTACTCGCACGGCTGAGTTATAAACATAAACTAAACATTTAAATTATTGGGTTTTTTTTATCATGTAAAGCTCACTGAACATATAGCTATTTTTCAGAAGCGACCTGGCCACACATTTTAGCTCAACGAAGTGGCTTTTCGAGTGTAAATTTATATCAGCCACATTCTCTAAACGCATGTTCCTAAATGTGGTGGGAAAAAAACTGGAGGACCTGGAAAAAAAATCCACGCGACCACGGGGAGAACACGCAAACTCAAAAAATACAGGCGTCAGGGTCGGGATCGAACCCACGACCTCCTGTATACAAGACACGTTAATTGACAGCTTGCCACTTATCACCAATATTAATCTCTCTGCGTGACAACATCATATTGTGTTTGTACATTGAATGAATTACAAATGTGAAAGTGCAATTTTCTCCACAAATCATGTGAAGATGTAAGACAGAACCTACCAGAATACATTTATGATCTACATTGTTAATGTCATTTTTTATTTGCTCACTTGAAACAGCATTGCTTTTAGGTCATCCACGTAATAATTTAGTCGCTCATTCTATCAATTTACACAGTAACTGGGTTAATATCTATTCGTGATATATGAGCATGCCACGTCTAACAACATTTACTATGTACGAACAAATTAACTCCCTTTGACGAATGATATCACAACAGTCATTGGACATAGCAACGCGCAAATACAAATAGGTATGCAAGTATTTCTCTCCTTTTATCATTATTTCTAATCCAAAACATTAAGCGTACACAATTGCGACAAACAACTCAGATGATGTACGACACATGCAGTGTATGCAATCTTGTATTTATATTGAAATAGGGTAGGTGGGTTTTTTGTTGTTGTTTCTTACCGTTTGAGTGCTCCCCCGTCGATATACGCCTTTGCGTTTCAGGGATCACCGGCGTTGAGAACAATGCTCTCACGATACGAGAAAAAAACCAGAGACCTATATACCACGTGCGTTCCCAGTGCGTTGCCTTACGCGAGGAGCAAAACCCATTCAACCACTGAAATGCAAATGCTGGCTCGGGGGGGGGGGTTCCTTTTCTGCTTTGACTTTTTTTTACGTCTCATTTCCGCGAGTGTTAAATTAAGAAAGGCAAAAAAAATAGCTAATGACATTACGCACTTTTTTTTTCCTTCTTCGTTTGTTCAAAGACAACCTGTCGCTTTTTTAATTAATTAAACATAACGTGTATTATTATGATTCCACAGAAACTGCACAGATAATTGAATATCTGGTACGCTCGAATGTATTTAACTAGGATGGTCATTATTGATGTCTTTGTTTATTAATATCATTCGTTTTTCTACATGGTAGATTTCTATTATGTTTTTTTATAGTATATGTTTTGCAGTTAATTGCATTTACCTAATGACAGGATTATGGTAGTACTTTAGGCAATGGTGCAGCCCGGAATTTTCTGGCTCATACCAATGCTGTTGGAAGGGCCTCAGCCAGAGAAAACTCTGGAAACCTGCCTCTCGAGAAATATTTTGGCCTAATCTTCCAAACCAGCCAGACGTCTTGTAATGCGTGTATATGTATATGTGTTGCACTTCGTTCGCACCGTGGACAACAACAAAAGGCAGGAGTGGCCACACTTTACCACACCATACACGAAACGCCGATCAATTGATAGTTCAATACAAAAATATAACTGCATTATATCTTTTCTTTATATTTTAACCCTGTCGTCAACAGGTGTAATTTTTTTATACAAAATATAACTGCAGATATTTTATTTTTCTTTTTTTAAAATACAGTCCTCGAGAAAAATGTCAAAAAGTCAAAAAATTGTTACCTCTGTCAATACAATACACAAGGATTGGAGCTCATGGTACACCCGAAACCACATCAGCACAAACCATGACAGATGCTCAAATCTAACATTACAAAAAATACATCTTTCCAGTGTGCAACTGTGATCATCCAGAACAGACCAAATGACAGATAACAACGCAATGCCCGATCCACAAATACAAAGGAGACATCACAGCGGACACATTCTGCTCCTCCTTACGTGGTCATCTGGCTTAACCACCTGGATTTGTATCGGTTGCCCTGCATCTACATCAGCCACACGGAAGAGGGAGAATGCAAGGCATACGTAACCATAGCAATGCCGATGTCACCATTGGCTGCAATGGCATTACATTAATAGTAACAATGTGAAAAAAGATAAAAGATGCATACTCTGGCCTTCACCTTTTTTTCTCTTGAAAAAAAGAAAACATAAATGAGACCGAGTCTTCCATTGGCTGAACTTTGCCACAGACGTGAGAAATATCACATCAAGGGACGAGAGCAGCAAGGTCAAAAGGTCATTGTAAAGTGTGAACCGCGACATGTATGCGCAACTCATCATCGACTCAACACAGAATACATTTTCACGTGGATTGTAGGTATGCTGTGTGTTCTGCCGTCGTGCAGCTGCAATTATAGACATCTGTCAATTGTTTTGCAGCCCAAAATGTATTCATTGTCCATGAAATGGAAAACATCACCTTTGTTTTGTGGCTGTTTCATGTTATAATTACAGCTTTTAATGGACGAGTGCTGTTGTTTCTATGTATGTTTTTTAAGGTGTACTTAACTTATCTCACAATAAACTCAAATTATCTACAGTCTAATCTTATGTTGTACATATAAAAGTGCGTTGTGCATTGATGAAGTTTACAGCGTGATGTGTTACAGATCACCTCTTATCCGCAACCATAATACGCAACTCATTGTCCACAGGATGGTCCACAAATAGTCCTATTAACCGTACCACTTTTCTCCCCTATTATCCGCAATTCTCCACCTTGTTTGCCATCCTGCATTGCTAAATTGTTTTACGGATAAAAAAATAGTCCATTGACAAATTTAACCTATTCTGTGCTATTTATACAATATTGTTTTTGTCACTGATAAATTGAGCAAATTCGTGGATAGCATCGCGGATTAAAATGTACAATATTTGTTCCCCATATCACCACAGATAAGAAGAGTTCTCCAGGAAAAATAAGAGTAGTACTAGTAATAACGACGAAACTCCATATGTGCTTAACAAGCGACTGTTAAAATGTATGCAACAATACATTAATTTGGCTTTGGAAATTACACTTTTGTGACCAATTCAGGACAGCACATCGCTAAAATAAGTGCGCCTTAAGACACACTTATTTGTAATGGCTCTTTCTATTCGTTGAACCCTTTCTTTTGGGGTGAGATTGTATTGGTGTAAGCCTGCATGTGTGTGTGTGTGTCTGTATTGTAGAATGCCATGCGATCTGTGGGTGAAAGGTGCTTCATAGTAAAATATTATCTCAATCTCCTTTCACTCACAGACAGCGAAAACCACCACAAATCTCTGCTCGAAGCATTTGCAAAAATGTAAAATTGGAAATATCGACTCGCAATTTACGAATGTCTCCAAATGCATTCCACCCTCGCACAATGACAGGCCAGAATACCGTTACGTTCAGGGACATTTCAGCAGAACTATGTATTGGTTCTCTTTAAAAACTCGAGTTAAGCGGTGACATTTGGATTTATCAAGATATTTTGCACCGGATGTTTTCCAGTGAAAAGCAGCGGCAAGGTTTGCAATGCAATGTGTTCACAATCACCTTATTTCCGGCATCTTGTTCAAAGTTAGTTTTTGATCCTCGTGCAATGGACAAAGGCTGCCCATAATCATGGACAATGAGGTTATTCACATCTCTCAGCAAGGAGATTGCTCTATAATACGTTTAAGCTCTTGTCACTATTTTGGGAAATATGGGCTAACGATATGCATTTTCGTTCCATGTATGTGCAATCGTTTATCACCTGTTACATTCACAGCAGCTTTTTTGAACACATTTAAATAGGAAGAACATTACCATAATCACTTTCATTTTAACACGTGAACACGGGTCTGATATTTAACACAAATACGTGCGCGCACGTTGGTTTTGATCACAATAGGTGAAAGCGCCGAGCTCAAATAATACCTGCTAGGATGAGAGAAAACACTTTCTTATTTCTATCAGCTTTTATTGTGCCCTTCGCTGCGACTGGCAACTCTTCGAGTGAAACTCTGTTATCAGATGTCTATAGCCAGACAAGTGAATTATTCATCCGACTTTCGGACGCAGGTGTGACAACAAGGCGGTATATGCAGTGCACACATCGTCGTAATAAGAATGCCATTTATAACTTGCGCAAAACAGGCTGCTTCCAAAAAAAGTGTGAACACTTCCGAGAATTTGCAACAACAGCACAAGAAATGCGCCTCCGAGCTTCTGGAGACCACCTGGAGAAGATTCCAGGCACGCGTTGGCAACGATGGCGAACAATTGTAGACTCTTTCACTTTTTGTAGCTATTAACATACATTTGTTTTAAAGCTTTCTTTGTTTTTTCGGTAAAGTCACGTGGAAGAGAAATAATAAAATAATCATGAAAAACATATTAATAATAATTTTATGATTTTTTTAAATGTACTTTATTATTTCCCCTCAATGTGACTTTACCGAAAGAACCAAGAATATACATATTCTTAGGGTTTTTTTGGTAAAGTCACGTAGGTAAAAAATTAAAATTAATAAAAGTAAAAAAAAGACTCTTACTTGATACAGCTATCGTGCTGTGACGGTTCCACCTGAAGACGGAAGCTTGTGTTGCCTCCGAAACGTCGTGATTTTTATTTTATTTTTATTTTACTTTTATTAATTTTAATTTTTTGCCTACGTGACTTAACCGAAAAAACCTAAGAATATGAATCCTTGCAGTCACGAAAGCTTCAAATCTACAAGAATATACATTTGTTATCATGTGACGGTGTATTGTCCGTTCTTTTTCCATTAAAAACGATAGTCCCATATAAGTGTCAAACATGTTTTGAAGCACCCTGCATTTCACGGACATAAATGACTGTGACTGAGGTTCAGAGCCAAGCTGAGTATCACTTATCATCATCATCCATGGTCAATACATTGCTGCATGAACGCCCAACCAAACCACTACCACCTCTTCAATCCACCACCACCACGTAATCATACCTAATGAAAACCACAGTTAAACCAATTACAGATATGATTCGTACAAAGTAAACGAATACACGTGTTGTACACCATAACGCACAAGCGCAAAACGAAATAATTCGAAATAACCGTAATCATCATCAGCCATGATCAATCGACTGCTGAAGGGCCTCCCTGAGCCACCGTCACCTTTCATCATCCTGAGATGCAACAATCGATCCAGCACGTGCACATGAGCTGTTCTAATCGCTCCATCTCCTCGGTTTCGTCCTCACAAAAGTGTTCCCACTGCCTGCGCCATAAATAGCGGTGCCACGATGGTGAAATGTTAAATACCTCGCCTGGTACACAGGAGGTCGTGGTTTTAATGCCGACCCTGTATATTTTCAGTTTGCATGTTCTCTCCGTGGTCATGTGGATTATTTTTTATCAGGGTCCTCCAGTTTTTCCCTGCACATTTAGAAATACGCGTTCAGATTATTTAGTTGCTATAAAAAAAAAAACATTACACGTGATAAGCCACTTCGTTGAGCAATCATTTGTGACCAGATCGTTTCTGAAAAATAGGTATACAGTATAGCTCAGTGGGCCTTACCTGGTAAAATATAAAAAAAACATTCATAGTTTAGTTTATATGGGTGTGCCAAGCGTAGCGCTAGCTTCGTAGAGACTCCACTACCAAACTTTTGGCAGTGTTCTTGATTCGGACTCAAGGAATTGCCACCAGTCGACTGCTTTATAGTGTTGACCTGAATCACAAAAAGACAACACTGCCCACCACGAGATGGATGATCGAGTAACATAGCTCCAACTCAGATTTCTAGGTCGGTGATTCTCTTCATTACTCGCTGTGATTGAATTATACCACATACGATACTGGTGCGATTTCCTGATCCTCTTAGCTATGCGGATGTTCTGAAGCTTTAAGATGCGATGCAACACGAAATTTAGATTGGCTAAAATAAACAAAGCTCTTACAAACCATTTGCTACCCGGAACAGTGGAAGTTATTGCTTCACTTTTGGAAAATAATATGAATGGGACATTTGGCTAAATTAAGCCAAATGTCCCATTCAAGCCAAATGTCCCATTTGTGTGTGCAGAGTGTCAAAGAACCAGACATGCTGCCGAGGTGTCATGGTTAGCAAACTGGAGTTGCAATCCAGAGGTCGCCCGCTCTATTTGAAGCAAAAATGATGGTGCCAGTTCATTAAAATCCCTCCCCCAGTCTGTGTCCACGCAGCACTATGAACGTGTACACCGCAGTCAGTGAATCGGTAGGTCACGTGTGCGTGTGGTGGGGCAAAGTGTGGGGACTGCCACCTCTTCCAAGGCGTCTGGGTCATCGTCGAAGAGGAAGCCAAAACAACCCAGATTTGAAGTTTTCGTGACTGCAGGGATCCATACTCTTTGGTTATTTCGGTAAAGTCACGTAGGTATAAAATAAAATAAATTAAATCACGACGTTTCGATTGCAACACAAGCAATCATCATCAGGTGGGACAACCACAGCAAAAAACATTGTTCTTGCTGTGGCTTTCCCACCTGATGATGATTTAAATCGAACCGTCGTGATTTAATGTATTTTATTTTATACCTACGTGACTTTACTGAAAGAACCAGAGTATAGAGTACCAAAACAGCGACTTTTCAATGTGCTCCCTGCTGCTATCTACCGGTAGAATATGAACACTGCAGTAACGCATAGTTTTCGGCAGTAATAAGTGAGAGCCACTGAAAATTGATCGTTTATGGATTACCCTTTTAAAGGTGCGCGGGGGGGGGCAATCAATAGTCCCATTTAATACACACTGTGTCACACACAAAACATACCGTACCGAAATTATTTCTAATCCATAATGTTACATTTTAAACTGAACAAAATGCGTGCAGTTATTTTTTACGGTTATTATTTGTTCTTCCACGGCATGTCGTGTTCTTGAATGCGCGTAAAACTTTGTTTGACATATTCTTAGGTTTTTTCGGTAAAGTCACGTAGGTAAAACATCAATTTTGATGTTTTGATGTTTTACCTACGTGACTTTACCGAAAAAACCTAAGAATATGAATCCTTGCAGTCACGAAAGCTTCAAATCTAGAATTTGTTTGACATCTCTTCGTTTCCACCACCCACCGGTCATCGCCCCTTAGAGCTCCTATTTTTAGGGCTGTATCTGGGCCGAATAACCATACGCTGGCTCGTTAGTGGTCTGATTATAGAAGCACCCACACGTCCTAAATAGAGCATTGCACAATTCCTCGTGAAACACACGCACACACAACACAGCACGCCTGGCAGACGAATAATAGCGCTGTACATCGCTCGTCCGGTTTCAAACGCCCAGTTCACTGGACGCTTATGGATAGCAACGTGTGGCTGTGGCGCTGAGTTGCATGTCATCCTTCTCGTGATAGACACAGCGACCGAGAAGATAGCGTCTCGCTCCCCGTGAGCCCCTGCGAGAGAGCAGAGGTCAACACGGGCGGTCTGGCTTCGAAGGTACCGTGCCACACACACAACCCAAACGATGCGCGTTCGTTTGTTCGCCTTTCCTTCGGCACATCCGATTGACACGGTTGGCTACGTACTGGTGCGAAAGATGTTCAACGTGCATACATTCCGAAAACAGTTGGAATTTAAGGGAAACCATCCAGTTCCGTTGTATCATCCTGTGAATCCTGCATGGTACAAATGCTATGCTACTTGTTATCTTGTTTTTTTTGTATCGTGTGAAGTATTTATCTACGTCACCACAGCGTCTTGACATAACAGGACAGCTTATTTGACCATGCTTAAACGCTGTGTTGTCTCTTGACTTAAAGCTTTCGTGACTGCAGGAATTTATACTTTTTGGGTCTTTCGGTAAAGTCACGTAGATACAATAATAATAATAAATCACAACGTTTCGATCGCTACACAAGCAATCGTCTTCAGGTGAAAAAATACAGCAGGCGAACTGCTGTATTTTTGTGTTGTACTGTGTTGTCCATATCTGAAAAACATTAATTGTACATGCTATCGCGTATTAAATGTGTGACCCTACCAGTTAGTAGCCTTCTTTCATATTCACCTCCCTTAATTCAATGTTTTAAAGTTGTAATGCAGCATTCGATGTGTGTGTGTTTAGGTGTGTGTATAGAACAGCTGGAACATCCAAATCGGTCAAATGCTAATGGCAATGTGCATTGCCTACCAAATACGAGGACATTGAGAAATTGACATAAAAATCGAAATAAAGCCTTTGTACTGCATTTTGTTCCATTTGGTCCCCACGTCGTAAATTTCGTATGCTGCTGGACAATCACAATTATCAAACCTCCACTTCCATGGGAGGGTTTTTCCATTTATTTCTGGCCGTAGTTGGAACACGAATATCGGACAGCAGCAAATGCGCAGCCACGTTGCGTGGGTTGAAGCCGAAGCAATCGAGGCACGTGTCACCTGTACAATGGCTCTGCAATCAAGGCCCGTGTCAGCAGGCAAGTGAAGCGTATGTCCCTGAGATTCGAGTGATGGCGTCAGGGCACTATCACGGCCTTCTGCACGATTGCATTCAAGAATAAATGACCCCATTAGCATTGCCAGGTTTTTTTCTTTAGTCGCCACGGTGGCGAGATGTTAACTACCTCGCCTGGTATACAGGATGGTCGTGGGTTCGATCCTCGACCCCGTATATGTGTTCTCCCCGTGGTCGCGTGGATTTTTCTTCGGGTCCTCCGTTTTTTCCCCTCCACATTTAGAAACGTGCGTTTAGAATAACTAGCTGCGATGAATTTCCACATGATAAGCCACTTCTTTGAGCTATCATTTGTGGCCAGATCGCTTCGAAAAAAGAGCTATTTGGCTCAGTGGGTTTTACCTTGTAAAATAAAAAAATATTATAAGTTGCCTAAATGTAGGTTACACAGTATACTGTGTTATGATATGTGTTAATATCTAGGTCGCACCATGCAATAAAAAAACACATGTTTATTCAGTAATCATTAGTTTGTAGATCAATGATGTGATGCCGTGTGAATGAATGAATGATACGGCAGCAACGTAACAAGATAATTTGGCCGTTTTTGCAACATCATCTCCCACATTTGCCAAAATAACTCCATTGCGTGCGTGGAATGAACAAGTGGGTTCCAGCTTTCCCTTGAGGACTCCCGATTGGGCTATCTTCCAGTGCCAGGTTATCATCCAACGCTATCAACGTAACCCATCCAAATACGTCGATGGCCTGGCACGTGTCGTGAGGGGCACTGCAAGATCCGACCATGTGCGTCCGATTCTCGCCGAGCTGCATTGGCTTTTGGTTGCCAAACGAAAACATTAGAATGTTGCACTCATTACACATGAAGTTTGTTTTGCCACAAATTAATAAAAATACCTTGCTGGTCTCGTTTGGGAGCATACACCATCACGCGAACTCCGGCCATCGAACAAAAGACGGTCACTGCATCGCGCACTTTCAACGCTCCTCCATCCGATATTAGGAAGCTGCTGGAGCTATGCACTTTTAAATCTGGATTAACAACGCAATTGTTTATAATTGCTTTTTGTGTTTAGTTTGTTGTCCTTCCCCAGCACCTGCTATTAGCACGGTTGGCTACGTACGGTGTGAAACAAGTTCAACACACGTACGCACATTTACTGCTGAACAGATTTTTTTTAAAGCGACCCTTGTGGGAACTCGACCTCCTGCGCCACGTGCCTTTCAGGAGCAATCAACAACATGGATGAAATGTCAGAGGAGAACATGACCGAACTTGCCCTCCAGATGAGCCTGCAGGAGATGTTCGCGTCGTACGAGCGCAAATCTTCAGACGCGGGCGAGAGCACGTACGGCGGAGTCGAGAGACGTTGCATTGCAGTGTTGGTGTATGCCCCCGATGCTATTGCACCGCAGCTAAGAGCGAGCCGCGTTTTCGTACGAATTTGTTTTGCAGCTTTACGCAAGGCGGCACACCTGCTCGCGTAGATAACCTTGGTGTGTGCATAGTTGTTTGAATGCATGCACGCATGTACATCCTATGCAAAAAAAAATTCATCAAGGCTAAATGGCATTGGGATATGAGTACGACTTTAATTGCGTGTTTGTTGTCGTTGCGGAATGTTTTGTGTTTCACAGCTGTACCAATTCAGATTTGTTTGTGAAGCTGACCGAAGCCATCACGAAAGGTAACAACATAAAAAACAAGACTTTTCTCGTGAAAAATCCCTTTTTTTTATTACACGCTTTTATTTAACTCACTCTGTCTGTTGTTGTCGTATCCTCAAATATTGTAACTCAATTTTAAACCACTTCCCAATGTGGTATCGACTGCAAACTTGGTATACTTATGTCTTACTGATGACAATACCATTTTCTATCATAAAAAAATCAAAAAAATATTTTTAACATTCATTTTTAGATATTATGTTTCGGCTTGGGTCTAATTGTCCACGCTCAACTGACGTTGGCTGTAAATCCCCACGGTATGGAAAGCTTCGGGGCCACTTCCTGGAGTCGTGGAGTTCTGCCATTACGAGTAGGGTACATTTCATTAAAGCGTGTTTTTAAAAAAAGTGTTTTAAAATATTACTTATCTGCTTTCCGGTTGCACAACGCCCCCGAGTAATGATTGGAAGCCACCGCTTTGTTCGTGCACAAAGTGCGAACGTTTAAAACGAGTCTGAACCCCATCGCAGACTCTCAATGGAGACCGATCTGGAAGTCGCTGCCCCCCCCCCACCACTCAACTTTAAAAGGGGCGGGGGTGGTTGGGACATCCAATTAAAATTCCTGAACGACACTTTACCTGGCAATTCAGAAGCGAGTCGGAGTTCGTTAGCGGCGTGCCTCTATGGACCGACTGGGGTACAGACTCAATGGAAAGGAGGCAGATTTCGAAAAGAGCGTGGGATCCATTCTTAGATAACAAACTCCGGTGACATCCAGGACTCACCCTGACCCAGTGTCAGGGACGCAACTGCCTCTTGCAACGTGGGGGGGGGGGGGGGTGGAAGATACGACTCTGGACCTCCCCTTCTTTCTCCCGAGTCACTTGTACTGGACTAGATCCAAGCACGTGTGCTGTTTCATTCAGACGCTGTCTCCCCGACATACCTGGTCTTAACCTGAGGACGGCTGCTTGCGTTGTGGCCGAAACGTCGTGAGAATTATTTTATTATGTTTTTTTTATTTTATTTTATTATTTCCATTCTACGTAACTTTACCGAAAGAACCAAGAAGATGAATCCCTGCAGTCACGAAAGCTTTAAATCGAAATTTCGCTACGGATGTGTTTAACCCGTTAACGATACTATGTTAGGCTATAACTATATATACTATTTTAGTTGCACCGTGTGTTGGGTTTAGAGGAAGACAGTCTCACAGTGACAGTATCAATAAAATACATTTAAAGCTACGATACTCACAATTCAGTTATGCGTCTTGCTTTCGTGCACACGTCAGTTAGCAAGAAAGCCTGGTGTTCAGTAGCAAACACCAGAAACGGTATTATATTTAACACAATGTTTTTTTCGGAATAAATATTTTTTTATATTTCTAACAATTTTTTGGGCATTTATGGTTACCGTAATTGTTTTGAAAAAAAAATATTTTCACGTATTTTTTTCGACTTGTTTATCTGTTAATTCGGCCCCCCTTGTGGCCGGACTGGGCCCCTATGCGTCACATAACGCTGCCATATACCCCCCAATAGTTGCACCCCCTCCCCAGAGCCTGCGGGACGCACACCTTGTTATCCGCTTGAGATCCATCCCCTCTACCAACACGGGCAGCTCTGTGTAGTCTCCCAGGGTAAGAATGGCCAACTCTGTGAAATTCCCATCGTAGGCTCTGTAAATTAAGGACGCATCATACGACCTGTAACTTCAGGCCAGTGTGTTTATCATTGGAAATCTACCATCCGTCGGAAAACATGAATTAAAAAAAGAGTCTTTTTGGAAGTTTCCAATGCATATTAGCAATGCGTTAATAATATATATAAGAAGGCATCATACAAACCCTGAATATGTTCGATCCATCGATTGTGATCATTATACTCCCTTGGAATTAAAATGTCTCCTTTGCAGAAACTGTAAAAAATAGGATCTCAAATATGCAATGACAACAAAACAAAGTGTGAAAACATTCAATGTCATTTCACTCTTGAGAGGGCTGTGCCACCGTCAAAGTTGGACAACTTAAACACAAATAACTTGATACGAGAAGTTTGTTTGTACAGTCCATGGCGAGCCTGATTTAATTTTGGCCCGGAGTCAAGAATTCAAACCCAGCGTCTCAGCGGTGCGGGCTCAGGTATCTCGCATTGCCTTGACACGAGCCGCACCGTCGTCTCTCATCGATAATCAGCTTCTTTTGCTCCACCGTACCACTGACGACATCGCCGGAATCTGGGAACAATCAAATGACAAAACTGCTGAATAAAGCCGGCGAGAAATCATCCCCAGTGAGGAGCTCGCATCTGGCTCCAATTCCAAATGGCTCGCATGGCAGAGCCTAAAAACAGACTGAGAGTGGGTTTCGGCAGATGCAATGAAATCATGGGGCGGGGGGGGGGGCTTCTACAACCGAACAATGTGCAGCACCACAATGCACTCCTCAAGATTTGGCAATGCCAACACCAGAAGCGGTGGTCTGTGCAGATTATAGGGAAAAGACGATATATTCTTAGGTTTTTTCGGTAAAGTCACGTAGGTAAAAATTTAAAATTAATAAAAGTAAAATAAAAATAAAATAAAAATCACGACGTTTTGGAGGCAACACAAGCTTCCGTCTTCAGGTGGAACCGTCACAGCACGCTACGGAGTAGTATCTCTTGGAATCTCTCATTTACTTGATACATCAAGCGTGCTGTGACGGTTCCACCTGAAGACGGAAGCTTGTGTTGCCTCCGAAACGTCGTGATTTTATTTTATTTTTATTTTACTTTTATTAATTTTAATTTTAAATTTTTACCTACGTGACTTTACCGAAAAAACCTAAGAATATGAATACTTGCAGTCACGAAAGCTTCAAATCTAAAAACGATATAGGTTGGACAGGAGACACGACGGAGAAGAACAACATGAGCTACCATGGCAACCCACCTTCCATTAGGTAAGCAATGATTCAACACGGCCCAGCAATTCCACGACTTGGCGTGAGTCATAATTAAATTCAGGAATCAACTATTTTGACATCTTGTTTATAATGCCTCATTTGTATTGGGGGGGGGGACGGGGGTTCTGGCCAATTTGTTCAGTCACATTCACTCAAATAATGTTGGCGTATATTTAGCAAATAATGTAAATAATTAATTGTTCACAAAAATGTCTCCCAAACATGATCTTTATTGCACCATTGGTGTAATGTCATGAGGCAAAACTTCCAATCGGATCTTTCGCACAACTGCACCCCTTTCTTGTTAGAGAACGGCACACAAAAGCAGATATGACAGAGCTAAATCTGAGGACCCTTTTATTGACCTCTCGTCCACAGAGTAGGGGGTAGCACTTTCCCACCCACTCTGCCACTAAGAGTAATGTTTGTAGCACGACAATAAAACCGAACAATAAAATGTTCCAGTGATGATTATTTTGTCTTTGGTGACCGAGCTGAGACTATATATTCTTAGGTTTTTTCGGTAAAGTCACGTAGGTAAAAATTTTAAATTAATAAAAGTAAAATAAAACAAAATAAAAAATAAAATATCACGACGTTTCGGAAGCAACACAAGTACTTGATACAGCTGTCGTGGCTGTGACGGTTCCACCTGAAGACGGAGGCTTGTGTTGCTTCCGAAACGTCGTGATTTTTTTATTTTTTATTTTGTTTTATTTTACTTTCATTAATTGAAATTTTTTACCTACGTGACTTTACCAAAACAACCTAAGAATATGAATCCTTGCGGTCACGAAAGCTTCAAATCTAGAACGAGCTGAGACTATTAACACCCTGCACATGAGAGTCACGTTTAATCGCAGGTAGCTTCCTGAATTCAAACCTCGGATCGCAACGGTGCCGGCTAAAATTCTATACACGTATCATGATCCCAATGCTCAATGGTGTCGAAGCAGCTGTGCATGCCCACCTACCAGAGTTGCACAGCCTTGTGTCGTCATAAAGTATTCCCTCGTTATCCACGAACTTGATATTCGCGATTTCGGGTGTCCGCGAATAGAATGTGTAACTCTACACGACTGCCTCAAGAGAGCGAGAGAGTAACGCGAGATTCCAAAGAACACAGGATGAGATGTTACTATCCTTTGTGCAAGCACTTCCAAGAGTTCATGAACAGTGAGCCTGGTGAAATTTGGGGAACGCATCGTCAGTAGTGTACCTTTGGTTCCTAGGGTGTTTCGGCCTTTCATACTATACACCCTCCCCAAAGGCGGCCAGCGACAGGGTGATCAATCCTACGCTTGCGTCCCATTCCCAATTAGTCATAGGAGTTGCCTTGTTGTTGATAGCCAACATCCCATGGGACTATGCCTCAAGAGAGAGAGAGAGGAAGTGACAAAACAAAGTAACGAGAGAGAATGTGATGCGAAAAAGTCATGAGAGATAAAGTCATAAGTTCATTTATAAATTACGTTTTCTGCTTTCGTATTTATATGTATTTATGTTTATTATAACCACATTTTATTGGTGTCATATAAACGTCCGTGTATTGAATAGCGCATTTATATATATTGATCAAAGGGAATTCATTATCCGCAACATTTGCTATTCGCGAGCATCTCGGGAACGTATCCCTCGCTAATAACGAGAGAACGCTGTCGATGAACGCAAACAGGGGAGGAGAGAGGGGGGGGAGATTCCATTGCCCCGGTGCGAGAAATGGCTCGAGAACGGCGTGGTAACCGTGGCACGATGTCTCTCCTGCAGGCGAGCTGGACGTCGTGAAGAGCCTGTTGAGGCACAGCAGGGCTCCGTGTGAAAGGGACGAGGAGGGTTGGAGCGTCCTGCACAGGGCAGCCGCTCAAGGAGACGGCGAGGTCCTGAGAGCCGTGGCCGACGGTAAACTCATCGCCTGCACCCCTCCCGTCGAGTAGCGCGCTTGGCTACGTACGGTGCGGACAAAGTTCAACGTACACACGCACACAATCCGATAGCTGTGACAAAAGAAAAAATTAACCCGTAAAAACAAAGCTTTTCACTATAAATCCTTTATATGCGTGGCATGGGTTTTAATTTATTATTCATTTCTGTTTTTCTTGAGTAAGAGTTTCATTTTTATCACATTGGTATTTTAAATTAAATTTGAAATTTTTTTGTTTTCCTAAAAAGTGGAAAATTTTGGAACAAAAATTTTCACGAAAATAAATTGTCACGCACAACGAATCTGTGTGCAAAATGTCAGCTCGATTGGATCACGGGAAGTGGGTTAAAAAAACGACCGAAAGATTTGCACGGTCGTAAGCGCGCAAGCAAGCAAGCAAGTGAACTTAATATAAAGGATTTAAAAATAGATGGAAATGTCAAGCCACGTACTGGTGCGAAAGATGTTCAACGTACATATATACATTCATGCCAAGAACACTTTGTAATCGAGGGAAACAAGTCATTTCTGTTGTATCCTCCTGTGAATCCTGCATGGTACGACGGTAAACTGGCTTCACCACCCGCACCACTCCACCGATTAGCGAGGTTGGCTACGTACGGTGCGACATTAATTCAATGTAGATACACACAATCCGATAGCTGCAACAATAACAAAGAGCTGGAACTATCAAGCCACCTGTCACAACACTCTCGTTTTAATATTATTTTGGTCTTTCGGTAAAGTCACGTAGATAGGTTCAAAGAAAATAACAAAAAAATTATAAAACTACGACGTTTCGATCACAACACGTTCGCTTGTGTTGTGATCGAAACGTCGTAGTTTTTTTTTGTTATTTTCTTTGAACCTATCTACGTGACTTTACCAAAAGACCCAAAGAATGTGAATTCCTGCAGTCGCGAAAGCTTTAAGTCAAGACTCTCGTGTTAATTTTAAACATCCTCTCTCCGTTACAGAGAGTGAAACGTGTTCAAGCTCATTTTTCAGGTATTGATTTAATAAAGGGGAATTTACTGGTTACATTTAACAGCTAGGACTAAAACGCAGTTCCCATATAATTATATCGGCACATTCTTACCTATATTTCATCCTACAGCAACGTGGAGGTAAAGGTATGCATGCACATTCTTACACGTCCAAAGAATGAAAGCAATCTCGATCCTGATAAATACCAGCGAAAATACGCTTCAATTAAAAATTAATTAATCAACGCTCCCCTTGAAGTGTAGCAACAACCTGCAATGCTGTCTTTATTTTCTCGATTTTTTTTAAGTCCACGCAAAATACGACGAGACAGACGCGTATCGCAGCTGTTTGCTTAATATGACTCGAGATTTTTTGACGACAGTGTCATCGTGTGCTAATTAATAGTTGTTTTATTTGCTAATTAACAGGTCACACAATCAGAAAGGATGCTTGATGAAACGAGTACATTAATTTTCTTTTCCCGAGCAAAAAATAATGAAAGCTGAAATCGGTCAAATGAAGGATTGGGCGCAGAGGTGGGCTACAATAAGTGTGACAAACAGCAGAGTGATCAAATATAATACATCTTGGGGGCTTTTACAGCCATAGCTGTAATAGCGATAATTATGCACACAATTATGAAACAGTAAATACATACATATACAAATAAACCGCTGCAGTATTGTATTTTTTTTTGGTGATTCACCAAGGCAATATTGGACCAATGTGGAACAAATTGTCGATACTATTGACATTCCGTCATGGTTTTATCTCTTTATTGTTCTTGGTTTTTCTCTATGAAAAGTGCCGGTGAGGTGGCCGAGCCGGCGCGTGTTTGCCACTTGTTGCGAAGATTCGCGGTCCGAGACAGGCAGTCACCCTGGTTAATACTGTGGGTGTGCAGTATTCACAAAGGATATGCGCCATCTGCTTCACGGTAGACATTAAAGATCCAATGACTTTTCTTAGAAATTTTAAAGAGAACAACGTGTGTGCTGGCATCATTGGCCAATTTTTTTAAATCAACTTAAATTTACTTAAATTAATGAAAACCACGTTGCAACACTGCCCCCTACTGGCAGGCTATACTCGTCTATGAAGCAAAGCGCTTTCGTGTCAACCTTGTTTCATAATGGCGTGAATACTAAATGTACTCATTGTCATGACTGTTATTATAATTGTATAAGTAGGATATGTAGAAAGAATCGATCGTCTCGGCTGTAATTAAACAATGTTAACAATTTTGATTTAAAGCTTTCGTGACTGCAGGGATTCATATTCTTGGTTCTTTCGGTAAAGTCACGTAGAAGGGAAATAATAAAATAATATAAATCAATACAAATTCTCACGACGTTTCGACTGCAACACAAGCACTCATCATCAGGTGTGAAATCCACAGCAAGAAATTATTTTTGTTGTTCTTGGGTTTTTTTCTTGCTGTGGATTTCACACCTGATGATGATTGCTTGTGTTGCAGTCGAAACGTCGTGAGCATTTTTTATTATTTTATATTTCTATAATTTTATTATTCCCCTTCTACGTGACTTTACCGAAAGAACCAAGAATATAACGTTAACAATATCACGCCACCGTAATATCCCAATGTCAATGCATTTCACGAGCGATGCTCACGGGTGACAAGTCGTCGTGAAGGTGGCGTGCTGTTGATTGGCCGTGCCATCTGAATCGCTGGCGTTGTTACGTGTTGCAGCGTGTCCGTACAGCATCTGGGAGCAGACGACCTCCGACGGAGACACTGCTCTGTCCCTCGCCATAAAAGGTGGACACACGGAGAGCGTGCGTCTGATGCTGGAGAGGGGCTTCGATGCCAATGCGCCATGTGGAAACGAAGAAACTCCACTCTACGCTGGTACGGAGACAATGCCACTGTCATTGCACGGTTGGCACGTCCGATTAGCACGGTTGGCTATGTACGGTGCAAAAGAAGTTCAACATACACACATATGTGAGGGTGCTTCAGACGTCGAGAGATTCGCAATCGTGTGGCAGCAGCCACTGCCACAAATCACAACCAGTTTGCCATTGTTCTTCTCACATCATCCGTTATCTATCCACTGCTGAAGGTCGACCGAATCTGTCATGGTGTCTCATGGTCCGTATCTGGTATTTCTTATATAAAAAAACAATGACAGCTTTTTCTCTAGTTTGCAGTGTGCATTTCAGCGGAATCCCCCCAAAATACTTAACCTCTCAGCATACAAAAGGATTATATCACTAAATTTTATGTGGCGTGCTTTTATTGTTGTATTTGACCAGACTAAAAATAAAGCCATGCGTGCTGGAATGAATGTCCACATTTGCCAATATTCGATAAAAAAAAACACAAATAACTTAATTTTGTAAACCCACGTAGAAAACATGACCCCCTACTGGCAGACTACACCCGTCTGTGAAACACAACGTCCTTGTGCGATGAGAACGGTGCAAATATCAAATGTACAACATTTTGTGTTTTATTTGTAGCCGTCTGCATATACAAGTTGTGTTAGCTATCACCAAAACATGGCCCTGACAGCCCAGTGGTCAGCTGCCCGCTGCTGTGTTTGCGTGCTGTACCACCTCTTCGTTCGGTGTGGAAACTGTTTCAGTTTTTGTTTGTGCTGTTGGCTTTGGTCTAGCAGTGGTTCCAATTCGATACCGATCCGTTCACCTGGGGGTACGTGTGCCATCTTTAGCGAGCACGCGAGCCCATGCACCTAATGGTGGATTGGTTTAACACGCGGTATGCTTTCGCGACCAATATTATGCATAATAGAGCTTTGTTGGGTGAGATTGCAGAAAAGTGTGTGTCGTTAAACTCGCCACCACCCGACACAGCCAATTAGTAAGGGTTGTCACGTAAATAAAACATGACAATTAATTAAACAAAACATGTGGGCAATGTTTCGTTGATATAAAGAAATAACCGAATGCATTTTGTGTGACATCTGTGAAAGAAGACCTTCATACATTTCGTACATTTAATTAGCCTGTGATATCATATTTAACTATTTCCAGTCTACGACCATTAGGGGGGGTACGCTGAGAGTTGATGGGGTTAGTAGTCGGGTTTGTACACGACAATCAAAAGGTGGGGTACCACTGCTCGAGACACTTCACGCCGTCGTCACCGAACGCCCTCGTTCTCTCCACGAACTTCCAGGCTCAAGTGGCGAGCCGATGCCGCACGTTGTGATGACAGCAGCCACGCGGTTCATGTATTGTCCGTGTGTCTCCACGTGGAGAGAGGGAGGGCGCATAGCTCTGGCTCGCTGTTCACATTCCAGCCACCGTCCAAAATAAGGCATGCTGTTCTCATTGGGGTTTCATACTCTTGCCGACAGCTGCCTTGTGTCAACATAGATCGGGCAAACATGTGCCGCCGATACAACGAAACATTGCAACAATGAGGTCAAGGCTAATTAAGTCTTTGCAACTGGGCGAGCCAGTGTCAATAGCGTAACGGAGTTTGCCCTTTTTAGTTGTGACAGCACGTGCGGTTGCGTGTATTTACAGCGCCCAATCGGGGATCTTCGTCGTATAATTAGCTCAACGTGCGGAGAGACGTTGCTGGTTTAATTCACGAGATGGTCAGCTCTGATTTCGGTGCCGATTTTTATTTAAAGTCCAACAGGTGCGGAGCACGGGTTCACAGCCATCGCATGCCCTCGAGCGAACGCTCCGGCACATTGTCACGCGAGACACTGGGCACACACCAGGCGATGTGACGTTGATCGTTCTCGAGCAGTGGTTCTCAAACGTTTTTGGCCCGCAGACCATGCAGCCGATGTAAACATTTCCGTGGGTCACTCAGGGCCCCCCCCCACCTCCTGGTCACTTCTCTCTCTCTCTCAACACCAGTAACACAAAGTATTCATATTATCGCAACATAATTATAATAATAGCAGCAATTCATCCAGGGATCTCAGTGCGCCGTGCACGAAGTTAGGAAATAGAAATACTACAAAGTCCAGAGTCCACTGCTCGTACATGGGAAGTGCAGGCCAGGCAAAACAGGTGAGTCTTTAGAAAATACCTTAAGAAACTCTTTTTTAACGCAGCTATAAGTTTCTTTTTTGGGGCGGGGGGGGGGGGTAGATCTTAGGCTTAAGGCGCTTTAATCAGGGTGGTTAACGTAACTTAATTTTTTTAAATTAAATATCATTATAAATTCACGTCTGAAACAAACAGTGTAAAATGGAAATAATAAAATAATAAAAAGAAAACTATTTTTTTATTTTATTATTTCCATTCTACGTGACTTTACCGAAAGAACCAAGAAGATGAATCCCTGCAGCCACGAAAGCTTTAAATCGAAATTTAAACATTGTAAACATTGTCATTATTTCCGGATCAACTTGCAATTGCATCACAGCCACCGCAGACCACCTGGATGACCGTCGTGGACCACTGGTGGTGGCACCGGGACCCACATTCTGAGAACCACCGCTTTAGAATAATCAAGAGGCGATTTGTTTTTTGTCAAGTACCCTTTCATTTTCAGACGGAAGAAAAGAGGTAGGCAGGGACGACGGGTCGATGGAGGTGGATCTTGAAGACGTTGAGAGTGATCTTGAAATTGACACAGGATTGGAATGATTGGGGTGATAGGGTCTCGACATCTGTGAAAAAAAGCTTCATAGCTCATCGGATTTTTTTCAGGATAAATAAACATTCCGACACTGAGGGTCTCATGCACTCGAGAAACATTTGGCCGCGGCATTTTTTTAATCATCTGGAGTTTGGAGATGGGTAGGCCGTAGAGGAGAGAGTTGCATGAGTCGAGTTGGCACGTGATGAAGGCACGGGTGTGTTGCGCAGGCGGAGGCATGCGCTCTCGCAGTACTGAGATGCGTGAGGAGAGGACGAGGGCTTGGGGATCAATGACAACCGCAAGTGGACGCACTCGTTGGCAGTATTCCGTCAGAGTTTACTCTTTGCCAGAGTGAATTTTATTCCGTGTTGGGGTGAGGAAGGGAGAGAGGGAGGTTACGCAATGAGCCTAAACACAACATAAAACCTGCGTTTAATTTGCTTGAATCTACAATTGTCACCAAAAAGTGATCTTCCAGTGTTTCACAGTGTGTTGTTCGGAAAAATGAAAGGAACCAGAAAGAGAGGAAGACCTAACAGAGAATTGCTTGACGACGACATTAGAGATTGGTGCCAGAAAGATATGCACTACCTGAGCATGTAACAATAGGTTTTACCCTTTCTGGCAGTAAAACGTGTTCAGATGTTAAAACACCAAACAGAATCCTTTTTCAAGGAATATTGTCTGCATTAACCACACACAGTCGTGAGAATTATTTTATGATGTTTTATTTTTATTACTTTATTATTTCCATTCTACGTGACTTTACCGAAAGAACCAAGAAGACACACACAGTACTTTAGGTGAACATGAGGTGGTAGGTTTCACGGGCTCCGATAAGTTTCAAGTCAACACGTATGCTCCGATAAGAAATGCATTGTCTTTGAATCTGATTGGTCCACACCATAGACAGCTTTCTTTATCACCTTAACACCTGTTTTATAGCCACAAAAGATCAAACCATTTGTTATATTTTGATACTGGCAAGAAAGGTCCCATATTGTACCTGAGCATATTGGCACAAGACAGAGGCAATGTGTAGTGGACGCCTATGGGGCAATCTGCGCACATGAATCGCGGTGATGATGATGGTGATGATGGTGATGATGGAGCATTCTTAATTTTGGAGCTTTCGTGACCGCAGGAATTATTCTTTGGTTCTTTTTTTTTCTCTAACCCCTCCCTCTCTCTGCCTCCGCCCCCCCCCCCCTCTGTCTATTTAAGGCCACCCCACAGAGACGATCTCCCTCTCTGTACCTGTGTTACTCTCTCTATGTATCTTGGTGATATCTGTCTGCTCATATGTCTGTCTATAGTTTTCTGGTTAGATTTTTTGTTGCTATTTCATTTATACCTGATGACGATTGCTTGTGTTGCAATCGAAACGTCGTAGTATGCTATTATTTAATTTATTATTTTATCTTTATACGTGACTTTACCGAAAGAACCAAAGAATGACCTAGCATCTTGCCGCTTTGTCCCCGTAAACGCGGCGGTGGTGCAGCCGTCAAGCGCGGCTCGCTGCCGGCGGCCGAGCTGCTCCTGCGCTACGGAGCCAACGTCAACCACGGCCACCACAACCGCTGGACGGCGCTGCACGAGGCTGCGCGCCTGGGACGTCGCGATTTCGCCGCGCTGCTGCTGCGCAACCGCGCCTACGTGGACCAGAAGACGGCCTTTGGCTTCACGGCGCTGGCCATAGCGGCGCAGCACGGGCACGCGGACGTCCTGAGGCTGCTGCTGGATCGCGGTGAGCCCCGAGGAGCTTCGAGCCGCCGCTGGCGAGACGCGGACGAGCGGTAGCGGTAGCGCCCGCGCGCGCGCGTTTGGAGGGCCGCTTTGTTGCAGAGGTTGGCGGTTCGGGTACGACGGACGCCCTTGGTTAATACTGCGGTGTGTATTATTAACCATAAATATGCGTCATCTGCTTCGTTAGTAGACGTGAAAGATCGATTGTAACGACTCCGACGATAAAGTAATAAGAGGAGACACTTTTATTTAAAGACTTCCGCAATAACTACCCTGCTAAAGACTTCTACAATCAGGGAGCCTAGGATTCGTTCTTGTCTTCCTGCTTGTGTCTTTCTCCGAGCGTCCTCACTCCTCGTGATCTCTTCTTATATATCCATCAGCTCCCTTTCTCGAACCTTCTATTCCCCCATTTTTTTTTACCTTTAGCCAATCCCTGTCCGTTCCCTCTAACGGCTCCTTTCTGTTTTCCAGTTTTCTCGTTCAACCCTTATTCTTCCAATCGGAGACCTTTGTTTAATTGTAAATAGCTGTTAGGCGTCGAAGTTCGCCAAATATACTAAATTATTGTACTCACAAATTACTCACAATGTTTGGGAAGCAACATTGCTCCCTACCGGCAGACGAGTGTCCACTTGCAGGCCGGTGCTGCGTTTACCCTGAGGCACAAAGACAGCTGATCACACAAATTCACGTGAAAAACTGTTAGAAAAGCCGTGCATGTACGTACATGATTTTCTTTCCTTGATTCCAGGGTTTAAGTGAACTTCTTGACTAAATTCAAAAACGAAAATATACAAATCGAAATCAATCAATTCATATACACAAGTCAATGCATCTCTCGTTAGCAAAAGCATCGGCAAGGTTTGAGTCTACGTTTGTAATCGATACATTGCAAGATGCATAAGAGTACTTACTTTCACATGTGCCTGATATTTTACAAAGGCCTCGTGTCAAGAAATTAATTAAATTATAAAATCTATTAATTTGGATCCCTGCCAATTGTAAAAACAAAAAACCTGCTGAGGCGTAGTGCATGTATTCAGCCAGGCACGGGTCTTTAATACAGGTGGAGAACCTTTTCCTTCATGGGATCTAAATAGGACTGACAAATTTCTTTGGCGGGGCCACTCATTAACACACACGCCTCAGTCACTTCTCGTCATTCCACTTGTCTAGAATGAACTCATTTCTTGAGAACTGCTGGTTGTGTTTAGTTGTCGTTCCCCCGCGCAGTTGGCTACGTACGGTGCGAAATAAGTTCAACGTACAAGAGGTCCTCGTAGTGACAAATGACTGCGCGTGCTAAAATCAGAAACGCAGTGTTGGCGGGTCGAAAGTATTCCCCTCTATCTTCTTGGTTCTTTCGGTAAAGTCACGTAGAACGGAAATAATGGATTCAGACGCTGTCTTCCCGACAGACCTGTTCTTCACTTGAGGACGGCTGCTTGCGTTGTGGCCGAAACGTCGTGAGAATTGTATTTTATTTGTATTATTTTATTATTTCCCTTCTACGTGACTTTACCGAAAGAACCAAGAAGATGAATCCCTACAGTCACGAAAGCTTTAAATCGAAATTTATTCCCCTCTAGTACCCGCTCAGTGCTGCTGAGATGCTTGCGGTGACGGGATATAATTCGCGGGCCATTTCAAAGCGGCGAACAAAAAAAGTCCCCCTCTAGTGACAGGTTTGTGGGCCCTTTTTGAGGTGGTTGGTTTCACGGGCTGCATGGATGAAGTCGCGGGCCTGACCCATGCGCCATAGGTTGCCCACCCCCGGCTCTGCGAGCTCACGTCTCCCTCCCTCCCTCCTCCCAGGTGCGAACATCCTCGCTCAGGCGGAGGACGCCGCCACGGTGCTGTACGAGGCGAGCAGCCACGGCCACATCGACTGCATCACGCTGCTGCTTCAGCACGGAGCGAACCCCAACATCCCAAACGTCACGGGCCACCTGCCCATCCACCGCGCCGCTTTCAAGGGCCACGTCCGGTCTGTGCATGGGGGGGCGGGGGCCACGCGTGACCGCGTTTAAAGGGGACAGGCGGCGCAAAAACTCAGAAGGGCCCCACAGTCAATGTTCAACAAACTTCGCGCAAATGCCCAGCGCCTTGCTGATCTCGTTCAGGAGCGTAAACCGTCACGCGAACTCCGGTCATCCTCGCAGCAGCAGCGGCGGCTTTTGGCTCGCCGTCGAACAAAGACGGTGGTCACCGCATCGCGCGCTTTCGGATGCGCTTTCTCGGCCGTCTGGAACGCTCTTCCTTCCGATATTAGGAAGCCACTGGAGCTATGCACTTTTAAATATATATATTGAAGCCTCATTTCTTTCGAACTGATTGTTGTATTTGGTTTGTTGTCCTTCACCTCTGATTAGCACGATTGGCTACGTACAATGCGAAAGAGTTCAACATACATACATGCTGAACGAAATGAGTAACACTACGATCTGCTTTTCTTTCTATCATGTGTTCTGCTCTGGTTCTTACCCCCTATGTGTAAGAGCAAGGCATAATCTATCTACTGCTGAATGAAGCCTACCCCACCTTATCTCAGCAGACCTCTTTTCAGACGCGTTCCCTCCTTTGACTGCCACACTGTCGTTTGTCTTGACCACTTTCCATCCTCTCCTCTTGCGTTGTCCTCTCCAAGCCCACTTGCTTTTTTTGACAGTCAATGTCACGTGTACAACTTGAGTATGTTCTCGAATCCACATATTCCTATTGCTGTCTCTCAAGTCTCGTTGCAAACATGCCCTGGTTTGGGCACTTTTCGTCCTCTTGTCTCTCTCAATGACCACGTTGCGCGACCACACAATTCGAGCAAAATACACCAATCCACTTGCTCGGTCTCGTGGCGAATTCTCCAGAGCAGCCATTCGAAGAGTAGACCGCAAATCTCTCCAATGTGTATTCGGGTCGCACCGCGTGTTATTTCGCTGCACGTGCTGGCAGCTTCAATCCAGTCCCCCAAGAAGCTCCCAGCACGTGGAGCGAGCCGGGGCGACCTTCGGACTTGCAAGTCCGGTGCGCGCCAACTTTGACACTGCGGCGGCATCAGGCAGCATCCAAAACTCCCCACCTTGAACTCTCCTCCGAGCGCCGGAATGATCGCCCACTCGGTGACCTCGCCGGGGTCGTGTTGGGGTGTCGCTCAGGGCGGTGAAGCAGCTGCTGCTGGAGACGCGGGAACGCGCCGTGGAGCGGAGCGGCGTGAGTCCGCTGCACTCGGCCGTCGCCGGCGGTCGAGTCGAGTGCCTGAAGGTGTTGCTGGAGAGCGGCTACGACCCCGACTTCCTGCTGGCCGACCACGTCGCCGTGAACTACACCGACAACCGCCGCTCGGCGCTCTTCTTCGCCGTGTGCAACGGCGACATGGAGGCCACCAAGCTGCTGCTCAACGGTGCCTCGCCCCACAGCCCATTGCCTCCCGTAGGCCGCCGCGGTGGCTAGGAGATGTTAACTCCCTCGCCTGGTATGCAGGAGGTCGTCGGTTCGATCCCAATCCTGGCACCTGCTGATGTATATTTGGAGTTTGTGGCGTCTCTCTCCCCGTGGTCACGTGGATTGTTCTCCGGGTTTTTCCCTCCACATTTAGAAACGTTGGTTGAGAGTATTTGGCTGCTATACATTTTCACTGACACGCCACTCTGTTGAGCTATCATTTTGTGGGCCTTACCTGGTAAAAGTTTAGTTTAGTAAAGGCAACCCAGGTCCGCACCTAAGCGATCAGTTGCGCGCAGCTCGTTTTGTAACGCATCTGAATCGCTTGTATGTGGACGTCTCGTGCAATCGGTTGCACGCAACCAGTTGCTTGCAGTCGTGTCAAGCTAGACAAGAGGGACAATATGTCGTCTTCATATAATCTGTCTCCTTATGCAAAACCTAAAAGTATTTCTTACGCAGCCCACTGATCGCACGGCCTTCTTGGCGATGCGTAAAATTCAGCGGCATCGATACACCGCTGTGCAAGCGAACTTGTGGACCGGATTCCACACAGCGTCTCGTCAGCAGAGTCGATCTTGGCTTGAATGAGTGCTGGTGGGCTGCCCCACCGTTCCCAATACCCAGCATATCACTACCGTACTGCTCACGCTTGCACGTAACTCCCACATATTGTCTCTTGAGAGTCGTTACTCGCGGAGTGACAATCCAACCAAACCCGTCTCGCGATCGCCCTCTCCTCCCTTACCCGCCGCAAGCCGGCGCCAAGGTCAACCAGGACCCCATGAACGCGCTGCTGGTGGCCATGCACCGAGGCGACCGCGAACGGTGGCCCTGCTGCTGCGCCACGGCGCCAACGTCGACTGCCAGATGGTGGTGAACACGACGCGCTTCCCCGCGGCGCTGCAGTACGCCTTCAAGGACGAGTCGCTGCTGCGGGCGCTGCTCGACGCCGGCTGCGACGCGCGCCTCTGCTTCGAGTGCTCGCACGACGCCGAGGGCAGGCGGCCGTCCGGTCCCCGCGACCTGCCCGGGTGGTCGTCCTCTATCATCCAGGACACCGAGGTTAGTCGGCCCAGGCCCGACGCGAGAGACGGTGCGGCCAGCGGAGGCCAGAGGTCGCAAACGGGTTTTGATTCCTTACCCGTACCCGGCTGCACCAGGGTCGCAAACGGGTACCCGTATCCGTACCCGGCCGTACCCGTACCCTACCCGTACCCGGTCGGGTACGGGTAGGGTACAGGTATTGGGTACCTGATTGCGACCTCTGGGATGAAGCCATGTTGCAGGCACGGGTGGGTTGATTCTAGGAACTTGAATTGTGAGAAGAGACAAGACGTTGGGAAATGAGTGACAAACGGCTTACTCACCAGTGACTCACGGCCTACCCGTACCCGGCCGCACCAGGGTCGCAAACGGATACCCGTACCCGGCCGGGTACGGGTAGCCGGGTATCGGGTAGGGTACGGGTATCGGGTACCCGGTTGCGACCTCTGGCTGAGGCCCCCAGACACGGGGCCGACGAGGGCCGCATCGGAGAGAGGCGTTCACGAACATCAACCCTCTACGATAGACGGGGCTCACTTAACCCCATTTCTGTACAAGTCACTTGGGGGCCATCCATTTAGTGCGTACGCATGGAGGGGGGGAGGGGGGGTTCACCCAAACGCGCACGCTTGCATATGGGGGGTCTACTGACAATGTGCGCATAGGAAACAGGGGGGGGGGGGTGAAGCTTCGATAATAATTTGTCGACATTGGCCTTCAAATGAGTTGGATAGTCCGGCGGTGTACTATGTGTTTGCTTAATCACGTTCATATTATTCATCCTTGATAGTTTCTGCGCGGATTAAATATCGGCCGTTATATAGGATTCGGGGGGGGGGGTGCGTCAGGCGTACGTACGCAGGTGGGGGGGGGGGGTGTAAAAAGTCCGCGTGCGTACAGGGAGGGGAGGAGGGGTCAAGTCTTGACACATGTTTGGGTACCTACTCAATGCTTGGCCCCTTACGCCAATTCTAGTCAAGTCGCTATAGTTGCAACTTGTTTGTCGTCGTTACTCGTCAAGTCGTTCACACTCTGCACACGCCACGTCGTAGCTCCTGTCTCAGAGTAAATGCGTTGCCAGTTGCAGATTGATGACAACGATTGCCACGAAAGTCGTCCTGTTCTGTCACGGCCCTTGTATCACAAGGGCATTTGCACACGCTCCAGGCCACGAGGGCCGATGGAAAATGGGGAGTGTGGTTGGGTGGTGTAGTGGTTGCTTGGTTGGGTGACTCAGGGGATGGTGCTATTGATGTGTGATGAACCTGAGGTGGCATCACTGAGATCTAGGGGTTTGAGTCCCTGGCTCCCGTCTGAAATTAAACTATCTGCTCATGGGCTGTTCGTTCGATTGTCTCAAGACAATCATTGATGACTCCAAATAAAATCCATCATTGTTTGGATTCCACTCAGTTCAGATCGATACAAGCTGACAATACCGAACACAGAATACAGCTCGAAATGCTCAGGGGGTGTGGAATTGTGAAATAAATATATTTATGGTTAAGTTACGAGGCACGTTTGTCACACTGTTAAATATTAAGGTGCACGTACCATTTCTGACTACAATGCTGTCGAATAAGCATGTATTGTCGCGTAGATTCGTCGTTTAAATTAAATTCACGCAACAGATCATGAGTGTAGAATTCGACTACGTATGATATAAGAAAATAATTTGCTCAGGTAACAATTAGGCTAAAAAAGTAGACAAAGACGACCAATCTTTTCCAAAATGAGACCAAAACAACGGTCTCTTGCGATGAGTTATACGTTAGGTCATGAGGCAGAAACATTTTTAAAATAGAAAAAAAATCACAACAATCATCTATTCCCTACGTGTATGGTTAACACACAAGTTACTAATAACGAAAACATATCTATTGCCTAGCGTTAAAATTACCCTGCTTGCAAATTCAAAAAAACTACAATCCCTCACCCAGCTTCACCCTTGCCCTCAAGGTTTAGGAAAGCCAGGGAGGGGATCAGCAATCACTGCTTGAGCGTCGGTGGCACGGGCAACCATCCCCATTTCGCGTTCTAATTAAAACGAAAGCACACACATGTCATGGTGTGATTTTGAATATGCATGCGTGCGTGTACACAGCAGTGTTAGTCGGGAGCGGTAGTGCAGCGATCATCGCGCTGCGCTACAAACCCGGTGACCCGAGTTCGATTCTCACTCATGGTCAACACCAGTGACGATTATCTGAACTGGTCCTGGGCCCTCCACTAGGTTGACTCAGCCTCAAATGAGTACCCGGTGCGGTGTGAAAATATCGCCACTGGGGAGACAAAGGCGGCCGGGCGTGGTGTTGGCCACCCACCCCCTCGTGTGCTCTGCTGGCCTTCATAGGTGCTCGCCAACAGCACTTGCCCCAGCAGTCTGCCAAGGCTGCATGAGGGATCTTTATCTTTGTTTGCAGCAGTGTTAACTTAGTCCACATCTTTTATTTTCGTTTGTAGTCTTAGTCTAGTCAATGACAACCTGCGGAATTCTCGTCGAGTCTTGGAAATATTTCCTTTCGTCATTCTCTAGTCGACCTGAGCAGCCAAACATTTAGACCACTCTTAGTTTTCAAATATTGGTGTAAGGGGTGTACAATTTAGTTATTAGGTCAGCCTATCAATGACCTCTGTGAGTATAATCATTTACCCTTTTTGGTCTTCCTCGGTGCACTGCAGTCTCTAATACCCTTACGATATTGTTTAATTCTGTGCGCCTGTCACAGGCAGGCATGCTTTGAGTTGCGTGGGGTAGTCATGTCCATCATCACGCTCGACGATTTTCATCCGCCCGACTGCAATAAAACAAGAGGCAAACACCGCATCTCGCCAGTGTCCCCGTCCTTGATTTGATCCCCGGCGCGCAGATGTGCGAGATGCTGACGCTGTCCTGGGTGGAGCACCTGGCCGGCAGGGTGGTGCGAGTGCTGCTCGACTACGTGGACTTCGTGCCGATTTGCGTGAAACTCAGGGCCGTTCTGCGCAAGCACCCGGAGTGGGAGCAGATCTCCAACATCCTCGGTGAGGTCACTCGGCATCAAGGCCGTAATTATAATATATATTGGGGGGGGGACACAATATTGGAGGGGGACACCCCCCCCCCCCCAATATTCAAATATGCTCAAAATGTCCCCCCCCCCCAATATATTGCTATAAAATTGATTTCTGTTTATATGATTGTGGTTATGGTTGCACTTTATTAATCCCGAATCTCTGCCATTACATACCATGAAACGAGAAAAGATAAAAAAAAACAGAGCAATGTAATACAATACACTATTAGACATTATTGTAAAAAATATATTAAAAGTCCATCCTATGTGTTAGTGAATTTTTTTAATATTTTAGGCAGGAAATTAGTTTTCAAATTTAGATTTTTTTTCTGGGGGGTAAACCCCCAGACCCCCTGGAAGATTTGGTCCCCCCCCCCCCCTCAATGTTGACTCCATGACTAAGGCCTTGCTCGGCATCCACCACCGCCGGCCCCACCCCAGAAATGGCAGTTCAATAGATGGCACCACGTGCGTGTCGCCGCCGTGCTCTGTTATCGATCGTGCAAGTCGGTGAAGACATCAATTGCAACCAATCTCAATCCAAAAATGGATGAAGGGCTCTCCACTCCATGTCGGTAATGGGGATTTTTCACCATACTTAACAACGTTGAGTTGATGACAGTAGGGGAGGCTTTGATATCACTCACCACTGACGTTAACCGTGGCCACGTTCATAGTGCGGCGTGCTAACCACTTTACCGCTGCTCCACACCATGAGTGATTATTATGATTATGTAATTTTTATCATTTCTAATTTAGTCGTTATTATGGGCGATTACATGGCCCAGCAGTAGTGCGTTTATGAATTGTTATAGAGGTTCGCGGTTCACATCACGCAGCCTTCGTGAACAATACTGTCGAGTGTATTAACCATCAAATACCCATACTATGATTTGAAGTGGACGTTAAAGATCCCGTGATGTTATTTGCAAGAGTAGGCCTTTGTGTGCCAGCATCATGGTTCAGATTTGCCAAATTAAAAAATTACCCGCAAATTACTAAATGGAAAATAAAGTCACAGCAATCATCGCCCCTCATGCAAAAAAAACTTGGCATGATACTCCTGAAAAGGAGTTGTAAGACTCGGTGCAATTAACAAGCGCAATAAATACATGACTGTCCTCAAGGATCTGAGAGAAAGTGTTGCTTGGCTCGTTGTTATGGCCAGACAGACGCCATTGAGTGGCTATGGGCCAATATTTGATGGGTTGAATTGGGTTTAATGATAAAAGCTGTCACATGAAAGTAATGAAAATAAAAAAGACACTTATTTTTCTTCTTGGTTCTTTCGGTAAAGTCACGTAGAAGGGAAGTAATAAAATAATAAAAATAAAACATAATAAAACAATTCTCACGACGTTTCGGCCACAACGCAAGCAGCCGTCCTCAGGTGAAAACCAGGTCCGTCGAGGCGACAGAGTCTGAATGAAACAGCACACGGGCTTAGAGCATATATATAAGCTGGGCGCATTGACAAAGGAATTTGCATATCACCAGGAATTTAGCATATTTATGGGAAATGCAGGAATGTAATTAGTACTGCATATGCATGTGCATTATGCAGGATTAACAGCATCAAAGGGAGCTGCAGTTACTGCTGCTGCAGCAGTTGCTGCTGCTGCTGCAGTTTCTGCTGCTGCTGCAGTTGCTGCTGCTGCAGTTGCTGCTGCTGCTGCACTTGCTGCTGCTGCTGCACTTGCTGCTGCTGCTGCACTTGCTGCTGCTGCTGCAGTTGCTGCCTTATCCATTTTAATATAACACTATGTATTATTCTACCCACCCTAATGTGTATCATACTGCTATATGTTTACTGTACAATTACGACACCATACATTACTCTGCACACTGCACCATGCCAGTGAGTGGAACGCGGTCTGAAAGTCACCGTTAACGTGAACACAATCAGTTAAGATCCGAAATGGTTTATTACGTCCTTCCAATGATTGCTAAGCCAGAATCCATCTTCTCGGTTGAAATTGTCTCTGTGTTTGTATATGTGGATCGCCTCATGAACGAATCTCTCATGATAGCCAGATGGCTTGCAGAGAACCTCTGTCTTGGAGAAGTCAATGTCATGTGAGCCCACTGAATTGTAACAGTGATCTGCCACGGCTGAGGTGTTTGTCCTACCGTGTTTCAGGTCTGCCTTATGTTCACGGATGCGGTCCGAGACATGTCGTTTGGTTTCTCCAATGTAACTGCTACCACAGAGGCAACTTAGTTTGTAGACGCCAGGGTACTGTATGTCTGGAACCACATCTTTTACAGACGGGACCAGATCACGGATTTTATGTACTGTGTTGAATCGGACCTGGATCTTGTGTTTAATCAGGATTTTGGAGATCTTTTTTGTGACCCCAGCAATGTAGGGTAAGGTGATGATCTTGAAAGGCTCCTCAACAGGATCCTTCTTGATGGTTGGAGTGATGGCTTTGCGGATTGTGTAGTCGGAGTAACCATTAGCCTTAAGAGCTTGGCGTACGTGTTTGAGTTCACTGGAAATGTGTTCATGGTCGGAGATGCATTGGGCTCTATGATATAGAGTCTTGATGAGGGAATTCTTCTGGGATGGATGGTGGTGGGAATCCGGTTTTAGATAAGCATCCGTGTGGGTGGCTTTCCTGTAGACAGAGTGGCTCATTGAACCATCAGGTCTCCTTTTGATTAGGACATCCAAAAAGGGTAGCTTGCCATCATTTTCGACTTCCATGGTGAATCTGATGGCTGGGTGTATGGAATTGATGTGGTCGAGAAATTGGTCTAGAGCAGGCCGGCCATGTGGCCAGATGACAAAAGTGTCGTCTACGTACCTCTTCCATAAGGTCGGGCGTAGAGTGGCAGTCTGGATGGCGTCCGTCTCAAATTTCTCCATGAAGATGTTGGCTACAACCGGAGATAGGGGGGAGCCCATTGGGGTGCCCTCAATTTGCTTGTAGAAGGTTCCATTCCAGGTGAAGTATGTATTGGTTAAGCAGTGTCTCACCAGGGGGGGTACCCCAGCATTCAGTCCTTGATGAACCAAGTCTTCAATGATTGCGATGGTGTCAGGCACAGGCACCTTGGTGAACAAGGAAACCACATCAAAACTGACAAGCAGGTCGTCTGGGGACAGGGCAATCCCCTTGATTGTCGATACCAGGTCAGTAGAGTTTAGTACTGCAGAGGTGGTTTTTCCAGTGAAAGGCCGTAGGATTTCGGACAAAAAACGAGCCAGTTTGTAAGTGGGGGAGTTGATAGTAGAGACAATGGGACGAAGAGGTGTATCTTCTTTATGTATCTTTGGCAAGCCGTACAATCTTGGTGGCCTGGCTGCAGAAGGTTTCAACGAGAACTGTTTGGTCTGATCAATTAATGCGGTTGAAGCAGAAATGATGTTGTTGGTTTTGGAGACGAGGCTGTTGGTGGGGTCTCTTTTTATTTTTGTATAGCTGCCATCGTTGAGTAGTTCTTGAATTTTGTTGTTGTATTCTATTTTGTCCATGATGACAGTGGCATTGCCTTTGTCGGCTGAGAGGATGACAATGTCATCCCTCTTTTTTAATTGAGCTAATTCAAAACGCTCATCTTTGCTAATGTTGCTAGCTGGCATCTTAGCGTTTTTGAGGGTTACAGAGATTTCAGATCTTGCTACGTCTGCAGCGATGTGACTCAAGCCCTTGAGAGCTACATCTACTCGAGCAATTATATCATTAACTGGTATGTGTCTAGGTGTGACTGCAAAGTTTAGTCCTTTAGCTAAAACGGATTTCAAACCTTCAGAAATAGGACTGTTACTGCGATTAATTACGACTTTGTTAACATCTAGCTTTTCAATGTGTGGGTCCGGTTTCTTGTTTGAGAGGCGGTTGAATTTGGAAATCAAGTTGTCCTTACATTTAGTCGACATAGCGGCAGCTGAAGAGGCAGTCATTTTTTCCACATGTTCCCAATCCGATGTGGACATTGTTACACTCAAAGATAAGTGTGATTTGTAGAGTGTCTTGTCTAACTGATCTAGTTCGGTGCGCGTAAGTCTGATTTTCTCTGAGATAAGAGCTAAACTAGTTCTAGACAGAATTCGTTTCGCATTAGAAGAAGTTACAGCAGCAGATGTTAGTGTAAATGCGTTTGGTATTACCTTAGAGTCGCGGCATCTCTTCAGAAAGGTGAGAGACTCGATTAGCTGAGCCTTCTTATCCCGGAGCTTGTTGAAGGATCTCAAAGTTATGTGGAAACCCTCCCCGTAGAGGCGGTTAAATTTCGATTTAAAGCTTTCGTGACTGCAGGGATTCATCTTCTTGGTTCTTTCGGTAAAGTCACGTAGAAGGGAAGTAATAAAATAATAAAAATAAAACATAATAAAACAATTCTCACGACGTTTCGGCCACAATGCAAGCAGCCGTCCTCAGGTGAAAACCAGGTCCGTCGAGGCGACAGAGTCTGAATGAAACAGCACACGGGCTTAGAGCATATATATAAGCTGGGCGCATTGACAAAGGAATTTGCATATCAACAGGAATTTAGCATATTTATGGGAAATGCAGGAATGTAATTAGTACTGCATATGCATGTGCATTATGCAGGATTAACAGCATCAAAGGGAGCTGCAGTTACTGCTGCTGCAGCAGTTGCTGCTGCTGCAGCAGTTGCTGCTGCTGCTGCAGTTTCTGCTGCTGCTGCAGTTGCTGCTGCTGCAGTTGCTGCTGCTGCAGTTGCTGCTGCTGCTGCACTTGCTGCTGCTGCTGCACTTGCTGCTGCTGCTGCAGTTGTTGCCTTATCCATTTTAATATAACACTATGTATTATTCTACCCACCCTAATGTGTATCATACTGCTATATGTTTACTGTACAATTACGACACCATACATTACTCTGCACACTGCACCATGCCAGTGAGTGGAACGCGGTCTGAAAGTCACCGTTAACGTGAACACAATCAGTTAAGATCCGAAATGGTTTATTACGTCCTTCCAATGATTGCTAAGCCAGAATCCATCTTCTCGGTTGAAATTGTCTCTGTGTTTGTATATGTGGATCGCCTCATGAACGAATCTCTCATGATAGCCAGATGGCTTGCAGAGAACCTCTGTCTTGGAGAAGTCAATGTCATGTGAGCCCACTGAATTGTAACAGTGATCTGCCACGGCTGAGGTGTTTGTCCTACCGTGTTTCAGGTCTGCCTTATGTTCACGGATGCGGTCCGAGACATGTTGTTTGGTTTCTCCAATGTAACTGCTACCACAGAGGCAACTTAGTTTGTAGACGCCAGGGTACTGTATGTCTGGAACCACATCTTTTACAGACGGGACCAGATCACGGATTTTATGTACTGTGTTGAATCGGACCTGGATCTTGTGTTTAATCAGGATTTTGGAGATCTTTTTTGTGACCCCAGCAATGTAGGGTAAGGTGATGGTCTTGAAAGGCTCCTCAACAGGATCCTTCTTGATGGTTGGAGTGATGGCTTTGCGGATTGTGTAGTCGGAGTAACCATTAGCCTTAAGAGCTTGGCGTACGTGTTTGAGTTCACTGGAAATGTGTTCATGGTCGGAGATGCATTGGGCTCTATGATATAGAGTCTTGATGAGGGAATTCTTCTGGGATGGATGGTGGTGGGAATCCGGTTTTAGATAAGCATCCGTGTGGGTGGCTTTCCTGTAGACAGAGTGGCTCATTGAACCATCAGGTCTCCTTTTGATTAGGACATCCAAAAAGGGTAGCTTGCCATCATTTTCGACTTCCATGGTGAATCTGATGGCTGGGTGTGGAGAAATTTGAGACGGACGCCATCCAGACTGCCACTCTACGCCCGACCTTATGGAAGAGGTACGTAGACGACACTTTTGTCATCTGGCCACATGGCCGGCCTGCTCTAGACCAATTTCTCGACCACATCAATTCCATACACCCACCCATCAGATTCACCATGGAAGTCGAAAATGATGGCAAGCTACCCTTTTTGGATGTCCTAATCAAAAGGAGACCTGATGGTTCAATGAGCCACTCTGTCTACAGGAAAGCCACCCACACGGATGCTTATCTAAAACCGGATTCCCACCACCATCCATCCCAGAAGAATTCCCTCATCAAGACTCTATATCATAGAGCCCAATGCATCTCCGACCATGAACACATTTCCAGTGAACTCAAACACGTACGCCAAGCTCTTAAGGCTAATGGTTACTCCGACTACACAATCCGCAAAGCCATCACTCCAACCATCAAGAAGGATCCTGTTGAGGAGCCTTTCAAGATCATCACCTTACCCTACATTGCTGGGGTCACAAAAAAGATCTCCAAAATCCTGATTAAACACAAGATCCAGGTCCGATTCAACACAGTACATAAAATCCGTGATCTGGTCCCGTCTGTAAAAGATGTGGTTCCAGACATACAGTACCCTGGCGTCTACAAACTAAGTTGCCTCTGTGGTAGCAGTTACATTGGAGAAACCAAACGACATGTCTCGGACCGCATCCGTGAACATAAGGCAGACCTGAAACACGGTAGGACAAACACCTCAGCCGTGGCAGATCACTGTTACAATTCAGTGGGCTCACATGACATTGACTTCTCCAAGACAGAGGTTCTCTGCAAGCCATCTGGCTATCATGAGAGATTCGTTCATGAGGCGATCCACATATACAAACACAGAGACAATTTCAACCGAGAAGATGGATTCTGGCTTAGCAATCATTGGAAGGACGTAATAAACCATTTCGGATCTTAACTGATTGTGTTCACGTTAACGGTGACTTTCAGACCGCGTTCCACTCACTGGCATGGTGCAGTGTGCAGAGTAATGTATGGTGTCGTAATTGTACAGTAAACATATAGCAGTATGATACACATTAGGGTGGGTAGAATAATACATAGTGTTATATTAAAATGGATAAGGCAGCAACTGCAGCAGCAGCAGCAAGTGCAGCAGCAGCAGCAAGTGCAGCAGCAGCAGCAAGTGCAGCAGCAGCAGCAACTGCAGCAGCAGCAACTGCAGCAGCAGCAGAAACTGCAGCAGCAGCAGCAACTGCTGCAGCAGCAGTAACTGCAGCTCCCTTTGATGCTGTTAATCCTGCATAATGCACATGCATATGCAGTACTAATTACATTCCTGCATTTCCCATAAATATGCTAAATTCCTGTTGATATGCAAATTCCTTTGTCAATGCGCCCAGCTTATATATATGCTCTAAGCCCGTGTGCTGTTTCATTCAGACTCTGTCGCCTCGACGGACCTGGTTTTCACCTGAGGACGGCTGCTTGCGTTGTGGCCGAAACGTCGTGAGAATTGTTTTATTATGTTTTATTTTTATTATTTTATTACTTCCCTTCTACGTGACTTTACCGAAAGAACCAAGAAGATGAATCCCTGCAGTCACGAAAGCTTTAAATCGAAATTTAAGACACTTATTAATGCATGTCCACTTGTTTGAGCGACACTTGCATCGATTTAAAACTGCTATTAGTATGATGTATTTCCACAATTCATAGTTAGGGATATCGCTAGCATTGCGGTTGCGGTTGTACCTTTTCGGTAATCTTTTAGCACATTTGTCTGATTAGCACGGTTGGCCTACGTATGGTGCAAAAGAAGTTCAACATGCAGTCCATACATAACACTGGTCAACACACTTTTTCTGGCATAAGGTATTCCAAGGGTTTTACTGTAAATTTGGGGTGCTGATTCCAAATCTGGCATCAGTGTTTGTTTATCACATCAGGTTTTTGAGATATCAAATATTGCATTTTCAATAAAAACTGCAGAAGAAAAATATTTTAAAAATGTGGATATCTACATAAAATGATATTCCAAACACACTATCCTAAAAATACAGCACCATATTTTAACACTAAAGCAGTCACTGACTCGCAACAACTTGCAATCATAAGTGACAGAGTTAATTTCGGGTAAAATCAATGAAAATGGGGTATGCCGGTAGCATAAAATGAAATGTGATAGAGCAAATCTGAGATCAGATTTGGAATCAGCACCCTGAAATTAGTCTTAAACAGCTGCAAAAGTCCAGGCCAGAAAAAAATAAATTTGTTGACCAGTGTAATCTAACCGCCACGCAGGATCGCCGATCCTTTTTTTATTTTTAAATCCTTTATATTAAGTTCGCTTGCTTGCTTGCTTGCATGCTTGCTTGCTTACCACTGTGAAAATCTTTCGGTCGTTTTTAACACTTCCCGTGATCCAATCGAGCTGACATTTTCCACACAGATTCGTTGTGCGTGACAATTAATTTTCGTGAGAAAAAAAATTCCAAAATTTTACACTGTTTAGGGAATTTTTTTAAAATATTTAATTACCAATTGCTTAATGCTGGCAGACAATCATCTGACCCATAGGTGGCAGCCATCTCAAGCCAGAGGACGAGAGGACTCTATCTGCCACGCATATAAAGGATTTAGAGTGAAAAACTTTGTTTTTTACGGGTTAATTTTTTTTCCCCATTGCAATAACATCTGCTGGCGATGCTCGTGCGGACGTTGCAGAAAACGCGCGGCCCCTCAAGCACCTGTGCCGACTCGTGATCCGCAAGAGGATGGGCTCTCTGCGCCTGCGCTCGCCCGCCTTCCTGGAGCGCACGTTCCTGCCGCGGAGCCTCCGGGAATACCTCCTCTACATGGAGCACGGCCAGAGCATCGAACAAGGCCTGAGCATTTAGCCTCGCCCACCTTGGCGGCACGACACCGACTAGTACTCTGGACTAGGTTCTCGGAACCCAGGGAACATGGGTTGTTGTGACTTAGGGTTTGCTACCTTGAGGTGCACGACAAACAAGACACCATCGTAAGAAGAATGTCTCATAATACCGCAAGAGGGGAGAACGATGTATACTTGCATTTTCTATAGTGGGGAAATCAGCTACTGTATTGCCTTGTATCGTGGTCTTGCATTGCAACAACCAACGATTAATTTGCACGGTTTTCTACGTACGGTGCAAAAGAAATTCAACATACATACTTACACCATCGGGACCTCCTTTGCCAGGAGAAAAATATGATAATTGTTTTTTTACCCTTTTATCTGGCAACTGCGGTCGGAATGCAAACAAAAAACAGACAGTGCATACATTATCAGAGTTGTGATTTTTGTTTGTATTCCGACCGCAGGTATGGTGGTCAATGCAAACAGGACTCCTTGTTAAAAAAAAAGGTGTCAGTTTTGTTGCCAGATAAAAGGGTAAAAAAACAATTATCAATTTTTTGCTGCTGGCAAAGGAGGTTCCAATGGTGTAAATGCTTACTCCGAGCTCTCATACTCTGATGGTGCATTGTCTTTGAGTTGTGCGCCTTTTGGCGTCATCTGGTCCAAAACCATGTGAGACTAGGCTCTAAGAAAAGCTGTCTCGGGTGTGGACCAATCAATTTCAAGGACAGTGCATACATTATCAGAGTTTTGTTTTTTGTTTGCATTCCGACCGCAGGTATTGTGGCCAATGCAAACACGACTCCTTGTAAACAAGGTGTCAGTTTTATTGCCAGATAAAAGGGTAAAAAACCAATTATCATACATACTTACAATTCATCTAGCTCGTGGATACGAGCTGATTCCTCACTCGATCTCGGTGATGGATGTCTTGTCTGACATGTTGCTTCCTCCATCGTGATTCCTAACCACTGGCCATCATCTCTTCGAGTAACATGGCCTGTCCAATCTCCCTTCTTTATATTCAGTATGATGTCTCTAATTAACACGTATCCCCCCATCCAGTTCCTCTTTTTGTCTGTCAGTGTCGTTCCAAGCATGCTCCTCTCCATGCTTCTGTGCACAATTTTTAGCATCTGTTAAATGTTGTAATCGTCCGTGTATCTGAACCATGTATCATAGCAGGTAGAATGGAGTGATTCCAAACTTTCTGTTTTAGGTACGTGGGTGGGTTACTTTTCATTGTTACCCAGGACACCCTGGACAGCCTTGCAAACAAGATGTTTCATATCTAGGGATTATCCAGATGAAATTTTTTAATTGAAAAATACATTTTACTTTTCAAAAACCACTCTATCCTACTCTCATTAGGTGATAGGTTTGGTATTGTCGACTTCTGTCATCAATAAAAATTGTTCCTTTCACAACACTCCTTTCATCACACAGGTCTCCCTTGGAAATAAACGCTTTGCCTCAACAGCCTCCCACTTGGTTTTAAATGCAGTTTTACTTTTACTGTTAATAAACACGCTTTAAGGCTGACACTAGGTGATGGCAAAGGTGAGCGTCTGTCATTATGATTAACAACCACCCACACACCTCCCGACATGGCATTTTGCAGGAACACTAAAATATAACATCCCGAACCCACTGGAGGCCGAGTAAAGGTCGCCACATGCCCAAATTGCACATCGTCAGGGAATTTCTGTTCGGGTGAGAGGCATAGATTTGTACCATGATCTGGTACCAGTATTGTGTTGAAATGTCTTGCAGAATACTGACCTGCACCGTTTTGATAGGCCTAGACTGACTGAGAAATATGGAAAAGGTGATAACTCTAGGACAGAGGTGTTGGAGGTTATGTGCAAAGATCAGATATGTGAACATTTATAGAAAATGCCAATTAGACCATGCACAAATACTGCACTGAATGTGGCCAGTTTATTGGTCATGGGGGATACGTTGCAGTTCGATATGTGATGCACTGAGGTTGACATTTGCAAATCAATGTACCTATTTAGGCCCCGAGTCACCGAGCGTTGCCACAAATGCACACGGTTTCCTTTGGGCTGAAGCATCAAACAGTAACCCCATTTTTTTTATTAAACTTATATTGAGAGATATACTGGGCAGTTTCACCAATAAGGTAACCCAAATACTGGTGCCGACAAAATACCTCGACCCCTGGAAAATCTTGTCGGAGCATATGCAGTATAATTACAATGCTTAGACTGTACTTTATTTCATATATCTCGATCTTTTATCACGGCCGTACAAGTGCTTTGTCGTCACGGTTGGCTATGCACGGTCTGAAAAAAGTTCAACATGCAGAAAATGTAATTCTGACATTCGAATTCACACACATTCAAAATGTATCCTGCACGGTATCCACGTCGCAGTCTGCAACTCCCAGGGTGGTCACACCCACCGGCTTGAAGACTGCTGTGCTAGTCGTACACAAATAGCGTGTTCAGAAGAACGCATCAATTGAACCTCATGGCGGTACCATAGTACCCCGGCTCTCGCATAATGTCCGTGATGCAGTCATTAAATCCTTTATATTAAGTTCGCTTGCTTGCTTGCGTGCTTGCTTGCTAGCTTACGACCGTGCAAATCTTTCGGTCGTTTTTTAACCCACTTCCCGTGATCCAATCGAGCTGACATTTTGCACACATACTCGTTGTGCGAGACAATGTTCGTGAAAAAAAATTCCAAAATTTTACACTGTTTAGGGAAAACAAATTAAATATTTAATTACCAATTGCTTAATACTGGCAGACAATCATCTGACCCATAGGTGGCAGCCATCTCAAGCCAGAGGACGAGAGGACTCTAGCCGCCACGCATATAAAGGATTTATAGTGAAAAACTTTGTTTTTACGGGTTATACTTATTTTTAGTCTGTTGATGCTATGCGGCAATCGACTCATCTCGATGAGCTGTACACGATGCACTATTCAAAGTAGAATTTTTCGATAACGGATTTTTGTATGCTGTTTGGCATTTCGACATCACGGAGTAGCACTGATTTCGGATCGATTGGTACCCCAGTCGCGGAATTAAGTACACCACTGGAAAAAAAAAGTGTCCCAGAAATAAAATATTTAATTGCCTCGGCCAATTTGTATTACAGTATTTGGTACCCCGGGGTGCAGCCATAAGGAACAATTGTTCTGCTGCAATGTGTTCGATCGCCCCCTGTTGGATAAGTAGCAATTTTTTGTAACAAAACACGTAAAGTGAACAACTCAACGCTCTGTTGCGTAATGCAATCGCATAAAGTTACATACATTAGACATAGTAGTGTAACACGTTCGACACCCTTGTACTATATAATAACACACTGGATCGTTGTAATACACGCTCCCCATCGCTGCAGTTAAAGCAATGGGCACGTTTCTTAAATGCCCCATCTTCGTGCTGCCCGCAGTATGAATAATCAGGACTACTTGGGCTAAGTCGAGTGTTCTAAAATTAAAGAGCACGCTTCCCCTAATTAATCTTTGGAGAAAATTCGCGTTCTGTTCTTCGTTGCAATGTGAAGCTCCCGAAGGAGCTTGCAAAAATTGCCGACAGCGACTATATTTCAAGTCGCCGTGGCGGGGTATTGGGAAAAGTTTTCAATTAGCAATAATCGCGCCTCGGATAAACCTCATTGGCTACGATACTGCCACTGCGCAAAGCTAACGTGTAAGCCTCCGAGTAGACCTCTTATGTATGGACCGTGTCCCTTAACGCTATGGGTTGCCTAAATGAAACAATGAGCAATTTTGTTGTAAATACATAAATACATACCCCAATACTATATAACACGTTATCTAGACACATTATAAGGTTTAGAATTTTTAAAAAGACATATTACTTGTAAACGTACGCAAAGTATTTATAGAGTTACAGTACGTTTGCTTTAATTTGCATATCCGATGACGTCACTTCCGAATCCGTTTATCACGGTGAAATGGCAAACTTCTCGTATCTTTTCATCTTTTTTATCGTCCGCGCTTACATTGCAGCGGTTTAAAAAAAACCACATTCAATGTGCCTTGAGATTGCATATGCATAGAAACTACAATTGCGAGTAATACAAGAGAGTAATTCATCTGGGAATATCAGTGCTCGCCACGTGTTCAACGGGAACACGGAAGTAGCGGCGAGGATGAGAGTCACGTTCCATCAGCCACGTGTTTACAAACTCACCGGATTGTAAGAATCTCAGTAAAGTAAGACGCACTCAAAAAAACCTGTGCCAATAAAGGCATGGAAAGCCATACCTGTCAACCCCTTATCAGTGCCTTATTACATTATTACAGACCAATTCAGTCCGTATTGGTGCCTTTAGAAATCTCAACGTTCATCCCACAAAATCCCATCACGAGGGAGAAACACAGACAATAACCACTTGTTCAACTCACCACTAGTACACTCACCACTACATACCATCACAAGGGAGAAACACAGACAATAACCACTTGTTCAACTCACCACTAGTACACTCACCACTACATACCATCACAAGGGAGAAACACAGACAATAACCACTTATACACTCACCACTGCATACCATCACAAGGGAGAAACACAGACAATAACCACTTGTACAACTCACCACTACATACCATTACAAGGGAGAAACACAGACAATAACCACTTGTACAACTCACCACTACATACCATCACAAGGGAGAAACACAAACAGACAATAACCACTTGTACACTCCCCACTAGTACACTCACCACTACATACCATCACATGGGAGAGACACAGACAATAATCACTTGTACACTCCCCACTAGTACACTCACCACTACATACCATCACATGGGAGAGACACAGACAATAATCACTTGTACACTCCCCACTAGTACACTCACCACTACATACCATCACATGGGAGAGACACAGACAATAATCACTTGTACACTCCCCACTAGTACACTCACCACTACATACCATCACATGGGAGAAACACAGACAATAACCACTTGTACACTCACCACTGCATACCATCACAAGGGAGAAACACAAACAGACAATAACCACTTGTACACTCACCACTACATACCATCACAAGGGAGAAACACAGACAATAACCACTTGTACACTCCCCACTAGTACACTCACCACTACATACCATCACAAGGGAGAAACACACAAAGATAAAACTATATCGGTATTAAAACGGATGTACGCCCTATGGACCTGAAAACTCAATTCCCCTATACAGTACAGTACAAGAATAAGGGTAAACCGTATGGGTTGACAGCTATGGGCATCTGATCTCAAATAAGACTCATCCCGCATGTTTAGCTTAAAAATACCCGTGACAGTGTACAACAGGGAGCACAAAGTACGTCTTGTAGTCCAGACCATGGCGCTTGGCTTGTCCAATTCATACATGAGCCTGCCTTTTCGCTTTGTGCAACATGTTTGCGTGCCTTTGGAACGTAACGATTTATACATTTGAGAAGACTATATTCTGTACATAGACAGTTCTCGAATAAGCCAGGTAAATATCACCCTCCAAAAATAATGCAATCTCGTAGTGCGGAGAAATGATGGAACACTTTGGAATTTCAGAGTTCGTGTTATCAGTTCGGAAATATTTGCGGTAAATGTGCAGTCCACGTTTTATAATTCGGCGTTTTTTTTCTAATTTGATAGATTTCAATATTCTCTATTACTCCTGGTATAGTGATGAAAGTATTTTTGGGAGGGGGTGAAAGGCAACATTTTGTCGTCTTGGTTCTTTCGGTAAAGTCACGTAGAATGGAAATAATAAAATAATAAAAATAAAACATCATAAAATAATTCTCACGACGTTTCGGCCACAACGCAAGCAGCCGTCCTCAGGTGAAGACCAGGTCTGTCGGGGAGAGAGCGTCTGAATGAAACACCACCACGCTTGGAGCGTATATTTAAGCTGGGTTGGAAGGGGGAGAGCGCCTTGACAAAAGAATTTGTATATCAAGAGGAATTTAGCATATTTATGTTTTATTGCAAAAAAACTATTCTCATTCAAAGGTATACTGCAGTGGTTGCAATCATTGGTGGCACACTGTCCTTGCAATGCAGACTGCCGTCGGTTCCATCTCGCGGTGCGGTAGCTGAAACTGGTGCAGCAAATGTGTAGTGACTAACTCGGAGACACGAAGAGTTGGAGGCACTCCTTTATTAACAGGCACCATCGGGGTTAACACTTTTATACAGGGAGGAACAATGTTCTACACTGCCCACCTGGGATTATTTAGCTGTCTGTCTGTCTGACTGTCGGTTTGTCTGTCGTACATAATATATAATACACACAGCTCTTTGATTGGTGGAGACCTTACAAACAGCTCTTTGATTGGTGGAGACCTACTGCCGGGTACGGAGAGGGGAGGTGCCTAAGGGAGGAAGGTCAGGGGAGGGCCCTAAGGAAGGGGGGAGTCAGGAGAGGGGCCTGAGGGGGGGGGGGGGGGTCAGGGGAGGGGCCTGAGGGGGGGTCAGCGGAGGGGCCTGAGAGAGGGGGGGGTCAGGGGAGGGGCTTAAGGATATGGGGGGGGGGGTTCTCAGGGGAGGGGCCTAACAGAAGGGGGGTTAGGGGATAGGCCTAAGGGAAGGGGGGTCAGGGGAGGGGCCTGAGGATATGGGGGGGGGTGGTGGTCAGGGGAGGGGCCTAAGGGAAAGGGGGTCAGGAGAGGGGCCTAAGGGGGGAGGGGCCTAAGGGAGGGGGGAGGGGCCTAAGGGAGGGGGGGGGGCGATAGTTCAGGGGGCTGTCTGCCTGGCTACCTAAAGTCAAGTTATCTTGTATACATACAGGTAGGAACAACAGGTTCCACACTGCCCACCAGGGATTATGTGTCTGTCTGTCGTGCACGACTGCGCTGTCCAACCAAGTTCCTACCTGCCCACTCCGAAGGAACGTGTTAATTAGTCCGTCTATGATCAGCGACATTACTCAGTCAGGACAGTTGGTAGGCTGCCTGACTGGTGACGCCCCGAGATGAAGACGATGAGAATGGTGAAGACGATGAGAATGGTGAAGACGAGAATGGTGACGACTTGAGCAGCATGACGAGGTGCCCTACAGGGGCCCCTTTTATACTCAGCGTGGCCTGGCTCAGCCCACGGCCACGCCCCCTTTCTAGAACCTACCAGCGGGTTCCTAGCGTGCCCCTTCTGTGACCTTTCCCCCCATAGACCCCCCTCTGGTGTATCACGTGGCCTGCTGACATCAGGGCTGCCGTAAGCCGCAGATCCCCTTCCCTGCCAGCAGCCAGCGCTATGCTGCTCCATTACTGATTCTATGCCACTACAAATGTATGCACTTCTGCCTTCTGCCTGTCCACCCAGTAGTAGTGAGCTGGTACAGCAACAATGGGTCGGCATGTCCCGTGTAGTGGGATAAAGTGTGGGTATTCCCACATCTTCTAAACCGTCTGGCGAGTGTCGGAGAGTGGAGAGCCTCCCACTAGAGCTTCATCGAGTGGAGGATCTTCCACCTGCAGTGGCGTGAACAATAATTGCAGAGCTGCACCTTGTCCACACGTGGGCTCTCAGCTTGTTAAATAATGGTTGTACGAAGCCCACCAAACAGCAAAGATTGTAACTGCCATGATAAACGATTGGATCACATTAACCATATTCGATTGAAAAATACCTATGGGTGATTCATAAACTATTATTCGGCAGAAAATATTCTAATTGGATTAAAATATCAATCGTTATTTATCTCCATATATATAACAGGCAAAGTTGTGATTATGTGTGACTGTTCAAAATGTTTAGCGTACTTCCCGACATGCAACAAACTTGAAATTTGCCATGTGGGTACTTTCCAGACTGTACACCATGTAAAAATTATTCAAATACTTTTTTGGGGGGGGGAGCTCAATAATGCATATATTTTTTGCACGGCAAGTGAGCTGTGATGTCACATCTGTCACGTGACCCGCGCATGTGGAAGCGTCACGCAGCGTAGTGTAGTGGTTAGCGCGCCGCACTACGAACCCGGCGACCCGAGTTCGATTCCCGCTCACGGCCACCACCGGTGACGATTATTTTAACCGCTCCTGGGCCTCCCCTAGGTCGACTCGGCCTCAAACGAGTAACTGCTGTGGTGTGTGAACATCGCCACTGGAGAGACAAAAGGCGGCTGGGCGTGGTGAATCCAAGTCCCGGGCGAAGCCGGGTAGTAAAGCTAGTACTGTATAATGAATTGGCATGACATTACAATCGCTAGCGTCGCTATTGACTTGTCCTATTTTAATGCAAGATTAAACTGCAGCCGTTCGCGTGATATGCGAGTTTTTGTGACCACGCAATCAATTTAAGTGACATTGGTCATCCACTAGAATTTAAACATGTGGAGTTGACATTTGTCACCAGTTTTTTCATCTAGACAATTACACTTACAACATTCACTAGAGGAGAACATACATAATGTGGATCAGTTTGGGTTGGTCTGTCCCAACAGTACAGCGTAAACTTTTGCAATGAACTGTGAAGATGAAGAACGCGCAGCGATTATATCGCCCATTACTTTATTACATTTGACGTACGTATATTGTACATTTCTATACGGTTCATCGGTACAAACTCCAGCAATGATTTAACTCTTCAATCGTGGTAAGGAACATTCCACACATGGCTGCAGAGTATATTTTGTTTCCCTTATTCATGAAAATTAAATGTCCCCTTACTTT